TTGATGCTGGCGTCCTCATCGGTATAGACACTGATGTCCGGCATATCTCTTCGAGCAGTGCCTTTCCTGTATCTATCATCTAACACATCGTCCTCGGGTACATGTTCGTAGGAACGTTTCCTTGGGGTCGTCGACAATTGTTGGCTCCGGAGCATCTGGAAGTCGACTGTATCATCCCTAGCATCATATTGAAATGGCGAGCTAGGCGGTAGTATGGGATCGGTGTTATCATAATCTAGGTCCTGCTCGTTCGGCTCTTGTGTAGCAGTGTAGCTCTGACGCCTTTCGGCATCTGCGCTCAGATCGTCAACCATTTTTCTTGGGCTCGAGAAGCTATTTTCTAGTCTATCATTTGACGCGACCATATTATCAACGACATCCTCCCGCGCGACCAGACCACTAATTCCTGGGGAAAAGGGCTGTGAATTCTGGCGCGAGGACGTTAAGGGAGAGAGAGGTGCGGACATGACAATGGGGTAATGGGCAAAGATGCAATAAGAAGTAGAGTGCCTATTCTGGAACCCAGAGCAGGTAATAGCGCGATATGCGAGAGCAGTATATATGCAAAATGTTAGAGGTCCATATGACACAATGTTGAGAATGAGAGCAAGTCCAACCGTTTATTATTTTCGTCTGTTGCCGGGATGTTTGTAAACAAAGCTATTCCCCTATAGGAATAGTATGGTTAGCGGCAGGGCGGTGAAATTTTACAAAATTCTCACCGCCCTAGGGTAGCACCTATGATATTGAGATTTCGTCTTGAGATGGCAATATCTACGCAGTACAATGTTCCATCCTTCGTGGGCCCTCCCCACTACTCTAACATCGATAGTCTCCTACATCACATAGGAGGATTCCACAGCAATTGTGTTCGCGGCAACTGGGGCAGGATAGCGCCGATATGCGTCATTTCGCTTTGCGCACTTAAAAGAAGCTTTGAGTCGTTTCTGATTTAGCAATGGCTATGAATTCTGTTCAGAGGGAGTCCCATCTAGCTAAAGCAAATGATGAATGCACTAGATGGGAGCTACTCAAAGATCACTTTTTTGTGGCGCACACAATGATACACCTATCAGTGCTTGCAGAGACACCCATCCATGCTGCAAACTAGATCAATTAGGTACTATCCGCGTGAATCGGATTTAGGATGGGCGAACGCTCAAGCTTCAAAGTGTTCTCGTTGACTTACATATTGTATTGGTGTTGTGCTTCTGGAAGTGAGCAAACTCCAGGTAACAAGACGCTACCGGACGGACGTCATGTAAACACGATATAATTCAAACTCATAGCTAATACATAGAACACCCAGACACCACGCCAAATAAAAAAAAAGCCCAGAACTTTTTGTCCTTCAACTGTGATCGCGAGGCTATGGGAACGACAATTGAAAAAATAAAGAAAAGGAGAAAAATTATGTCTGTACTGTTTCACTGCCCATCGCAAAAAACCAATCCATTGACCGAGGCGTTCTCAATGAGTACCACTCGTCAGCCTCATGATCCCGTCGTTGTCTGCAGCACCGTCTGTTTATCCCCTAGATTATCAGACATCAGGAGTGCTTACATCAGTACCCGTAACTATGATATGGACGGTGTCTCTCCGAGGGTGGGTCTCATTCGGCAGATAGTGGCAGGGGGCGACTGGCTGGATTGTAGCAGACGAGTGTTTCTTTCGCTCCATGAACCACAGCTGCATGGCGCCGACGATTGCGGCTAGAGTGCTTCCCCACCATGCAAGTGCAGTACAATCAAGTTCCGCACCGGTGCTGTACAGATAACCGGCGATAGGTGGGGCGATAGTGCGAGAAGCAGCTCCAGCGGAAGCAGCAAGGCCATTGATCTTTCCTAAGACCGAGTCGGAAGGGCTAGCTTGCTTAATAAGAATCAACAAGACGGGGTAGTCAATGATTGCAAGGATATTGCGAACGACTAAACATCCATAGATGCCGAAGAACAACAGACTGCGAGGGAGAAAAATAAGGAATGGAACCATGAAATAAGCTACCGGATGAAGGATGGTCACAATCACGAAAAGTCTCCACACTCCCAAATAATGTGCCAAAGCAGGGAAAATGATGCTTTGAATGAAGAGTGCAATGACGCCGTCGGTAGACATGATTAGGCCGACTGTTCTGGTTGAGAGACCAACACCACCGGGGAATTTCAATATCGAGTTGCCAACAATAGGTGCGTCCCGAAACTTCTTGTCCTGCAGAAAAATAGGCAATAAGTGGTCATACGTCATAGAGTGGTATGTGAAGATCGCCAACGCAACGATGAGCATTATGACTCGTTTTGTGAAGATAAGTTGTCTTTGGGGACTTTTCTCGGGCCTTGAACCATCCGATCGTACCATCCAATCCTCGTCGTCATATAGGTGAACCTGGTTAAAAGTCCCATATGATTCGGCTCGTAGGTCCGCCCCTGCATTGGCAGTTGCCCCAGCAGTCGCTAGAAGAGGGCGTTCTGCGGATCTGTTATCGAGATTTTCGGTAACATTCCAAGGCTGCATATCGGGATGAGTCTCTTGCAGGAAGAGCCAACTGAAGATGATACTGAGAAGGAGTAAGACAGAACAAACAAGGTTTGGCAGGAGATAAGGGAATCTGCCAAAGAGGCCATCGTGGTGAAACAAGGAAGGGAAACCTTCAGTAGGCTTTGCAAGTAACCCCCCAATAGCTGCGATGGCGTAAATGGTTAACATCTTCCGCTATGCTGTTTAGTCGACTAATGCCCCTTAATACATACCTGGCCCAATAATTGTGCCAATTGACCAAACAAATGGCATCACAGCATAAGCTCGAGCTACACATTTGACTATCAGCCAAGGTTCCAGCCACGGAAGCAATAAGATAGAGGGACCATACGTTCATGCTCAGGTCTTTTGACTAGTTCACCGACCATAGTCTGAATGACACCGATATTTCCGTTTAGGATGCCTCCGAGGGCCCGACCAAAGAGAGCTACCCAAAAATTCGACGCGAAGCCGACAATGAGGAGGGACGCCATGGTTCCGAGGCAGCCAGAAAGCAGGACAGGTTTGCGACCGACACGATCTGACAGGCTTCCCCAAAACATACCGGTGAGCGCTTCGGCTAGTGAAAAGGCCGATACAAGTATACCAGCAAAGAAGGAAGCATCGGATCCATTAGCCACATTGAAGTCCTTGACCATCACCCATGAGTATGGGAAGATAGAAGTCAAGGCAATAGGCTCCGCAACACGGCATATTGCTATAGTCAAACAACTGTAAGCACCTGCAAGTGAAGCAAAAAAAAAAAAAAAAAAAAAAAAGGAAACAAAGAAACAAGGAAAGAAACTGCTTGGTTCGTTTTACATACCTAGAAGGAATAGCTGAGTGGTTGGGAACTGGTCGTCCGAGGCAGGTTGTCTTCTCTGTTGTGTTAATACCATGATCTTTGGAAACGTCCAAGACTCTTACGGCTAGCCCTCCACAAAACGACAGGTCTCCTTCTGAGACTATCCTTTTTTTTAACCTCCTGTAAACTCTGTGACAAGTGCTTTTCTTCTTCTCTTTTTCCTGTGTTTCGATCTCGACTTGGCAAGCGCCCGAGACCCGGTGGGATAGAGATATAGAGAGGAAAAGTTATTATGATTAGGTGGTGGAAGTATGGCGTATCACAGTCGGGGAGTGCACAGTATGAGGAAGAGTCGGGAGGCAGGGAAGAAGGAGAGCACTATGAAGGAGAAAGGAGAAGGGTTGCCTGCAAAAAGTTCCAGGGTTCTGTCATGTAAAACGGCGGAAGTAATCTATGGAATTCCCGGCTCAACGGTTACCTTGATTGGAGATCCAACTCAATGACAGTACGCTAGTCCCAAGAATGGGATAGTAGGCTGCACATGATCATGGATCCGGGTCAAAGATTTGAACAAATGGAGATTAAAGTTTGAGACTGACTCGAACTTATTCTTCTTAAATTTCAGTTCACCAGAACCTAAGCACGTACTAAATGACACCCCAGTGGACGAGTTGAAAGTTCCTGCGATCATTAGGTAGGTATCGAATATTGTTGCGGTACTACTAGATAGATGCGTTCTATTAGTATATACTGATGGTACGGAGTATATGTGACATGAGTTGAAGGGCCGGTGGCGAACACAGGTTCTATTTAGGTAACATTTTTCTCCCTCAGGCCTGTCTGTGGTACACCGAGTGTAGCAAGGCAGATTTTCCGAATGCTGTGCCGTTGAGTCCGAGACCCGCTGTGTGACCGGCAGCTTTGCTCATTAACTGTTCAGCTGTACGAGCGAAGAGTGTCTAGAGCGTTCATTTGGACTATTTTCTAATATGTTGTTCTGAAACCTCGCGTCATGCGTTTTAAGCCTTTGATAGTACAGTACGTACCCTTGAAAGAAATTAATATTTTAGATTGTGGGTACCAAGTCCGCAGCCTGTTCTTGACTGGTGGAGATCATATCCAAATAAGACAACTAGGCCCGACCCTGACCTCGTAAGAACCGGTTTGCGTTGGTCATCACAAAACATTTCTCATGTGGATGATGGCGAGTGTGTCGGAGTTCACTAGTTAGTTAGTTAGTTAACTAGCAGTTTACATCTTACTAATAGAATGTACCCCGGATTCATCGGATATTTACTCCATTCGAGCCGGGCGACATCCTATACTTCTTCCCTCAAGGAACCCCTGCCATCGGTGCAGTTAAGACTCGCATGTTTGCAGTGTTTCATGCTGGTGCGTAGAATCAGATGTATTAATATGACTTAGTTGGCGCTGTGCCAATAATGTACATTGGTAGTGCCGACTAACTCTAGGTTCCAGGATAAGGGACTTGCTCTGAGCCAGCGCATCGGCCTATTTATCATTAAAAAAAATTATATCTGAGCATGCCTAGGTTCCGGCCCATGGTTTACATTGCCCAGGAATGTCATGATTTTTGCTGACAAGACCTGCAATTTGTAGATGTTGTACAGAAGCTACTACCATAGCTATTTTGAGTCTTTAAAGCGGCCTTGTAAGGCAATTCCAAAAGCGTAACTTTCGTAAATATGAATCTAAAAATATACAGAGAGTTTTGAAGTGCTCCGTAGAAGGTAGCTACTCATTATGGGTATCTGGAAGATATCTGGTGGCAGTTATCAGTCTGTATTCTCAGACACAGGGATGTATGATCGCCGTTCTCTTGCCGCCTATCGCCGAATTAGCATTAAAGCAAGCTGGGATGACCAAGACAAGGGTATATGACATGCCTCGATATACTTTTGTATCCATGGTTTGAGGACAGCCCACGCTAGCAGTCCGCTTGTAGCAATTATGAAAATGAACACTATGGCCTCGTCTTTCCTAGAGTCTCTCTCTGCATACCCGAACGGCTGGTCAGCACAAGTAAGATGCAAGACAAGCAAAGTTATCTCGTACGGAAACACGTAGTAAATACGTCCTCCTCTTTCGCATCTTTACACGTGGGCAAGTCATAGTCAAGGCAAAATTTTCGATTGCAATCGTTGCAGCTTAGGGAGCGATATTTGCTGGCTCGTCTTTCATTTGTGTTGTCGTGATCATCGGTGGAGTCGCTACGGCTGAGGAGATGGAAAACGCTGGTTAGAGCGGTAGTCTCTGGTTTCGCAGGATGAAGGGGGATTATGGTGCTATTAGAGAAGCAAGTGCATTTGCAAAATGAGGCAGGAGCTTGAATAATCAGAATTTAGTCAATACTTCAAGTCACAATTGGGGTTAACCGCAAATGATCACTCACAAGACGCCAACGTGAAAGTTGTCAGTGACAGAAAAACTATAAAAAGAAGAACAATATGAGATACAATGTCCCGGTAACGAGACATGGCTGAGAAAATAATAAGGGGTGGAAGTAATCTCGTTTCCCTTCTACTGATGAATAAATGTGTTATCAGTTGCGGTGATATAAAGCTTAAACCCATAACCTGGGTCCTTGTCATCACGTGATAATGATATCAGTTCTACCTATGGATGATGCACATTGATCTTTGGAATGCTTTATTTCCAGCAAATATCTCAATTGACATAGCTAGGAGATATCCACATGGTTCTATAGAAAATATATCCTAGAATGTTAACCCTATGACTTCCCTTTCATGCCTTTCCTCCTATTCTCCCTTTGTCTCTGTTCTTTGGCAGCATCACGCCGTCTCTTCTTCCAGGCTCGATTGTTATCTCCGCGATTTTCCCAGAACCATTTTGTGAATTCAGATTCTTCCCTGGGTCCTGAGCTGGATTTTGGAACAGGTGTATTGGTGTAAGGCTCATCATCCACATCCGTGGACTCATGTTGTTCTAGGCTATTCCACTTTTTGTTTCGCCCAGCCAACGCTGTGTCAGGTGTGGGGGCAGCACTTCTCAGTCCACGGCTTTGTAAGTCCCTATTCGTGAACGGGGTTTGTGGCTCTGCAACTTCCTGTATTTCTTCCTCGGATTCCATGTCTCCCTGTCCAAAGAAACTAAATTGCGCATTGGCATCTGCATCAGGCTTAACATCGGTGGTGTCAGGTGCGGGTCTCTTGAAGAGAGCTTCTAGTGGATGGACTTCTTGGGGGTGTGGCTCATCATCTTTCTCCGCTTGAGCAACGCCCTGGTCCACCATTGCTTCGGGGCCGGAAATCTTTTCAACACCGTGGGGCGTCGACTGCGATCCCTGTCCATCCTGGTCACTGGAGATACCTGATGCATCTGAAGAACTGGATGTCACGCTTGCCTCGCTTTCAGAATCGGTTGCACTATCGTCGGAAGACGTTGCCCCACTAGACGAGGTCCAATCATCCGATTCATCCAATTCTTTCATATCAACATCTCCTCCAACAGCATTTGCATCATCAAGTCTTTGAGGGCTTGCCTTAGTCTTGAGCAAAGTTTTGGACTTCGGTTTCTCCTTTGCCCCTGGTATTTTCCCTGGTGTGTGTTGATCACTTCTGATTCGATCGCTGGCTTGTTCTTTTACGTTTCCTGAATCGTCTATCCAACCCTTACCTTCTTCGAAAGAAAACGTAGGCGTTGCTCCGTCCTTATCTGTCCGCAGGAAACTCGGGTGTGTAACAGTCTTTGAAAACTCATGTACAACAGACTCCTGTGAAGATTTTTTCTTTTTCTTCTTCGACTGTTTGTCTTGCTCCACCTCAGCAGACGAGGCTCTGTTAGGAGGGATTTTTGTTCGGAACAAACATTCTGCCTTCTCCGTATACTTGGATTTCGCCTGCAACTTTCCTGTTCTATCGTCCTTCTTCTTGTTTCTCTTCTCCTCCTTGCGCCTCTCTTTCAAGGAGCTTGTTGACTCTGTCCAGCCTCTCTTTACTTGGCGATCTGTTTGAAGCTCATATCCCTCTAAAACATTTCCGGCATCCTTTCGTTTCTTTGACTTCTTGCTTGACGGCGATACTGTATTAGAAGCTGCCTTATCAGTTTCGCCTTCGCCTTCGTCCCTCTGTCTTTTAGGTGGCCGAGCTACATCCACCTTGAACTTTCGACCTTTGAGGATTGAACCGTTGAGCTTCTTCTTAATTTTATCCGCCTCCATCGCTGGTAGCGTCACGTAGCCGTAATTGTTCTCCGGAAACGTCGGGATGCCGTGGAAGGAGATTTCTGTGGCTAAGGGCCGAACGGATGAAGATAATATGGAGGGAAGAAGTTCTGCGGTGAAGGGAGTGATGTGCAGGCGTTTAATTGCTGAAGAATCGGTCGTCATTTGTTAGGACTGATGATGAACCATATAGCAATAGCCTAGCAAGTAGGTAAGAATAGAGGAGAAGGAAGGCCGTAAGGTGCCAATAAGGAAAAAAGCAAAAGGAAGAAAAAAAGAAAAAGCAAAGAAAAAGTATGGTGACAACTGTAACCACCGTAAGCTGTTTGACCGATTGCTCTAGGTCAGAATGAACTGTGAAGGTTTTGTCGCATCCTATATTGAGATGGGATAGCAGCCTGGACCCTGAATAAATGAGAGAGTTATAAGTAAAGGATCGATTTGGACCAACTACAGCTGTGGGAGTGATAAATAATTCTGTAGTACGGAGTAGATGATGGGTTTTCCACCCGCTAACCCAAACCTAAAACGGACCGGTCTGTGGCGCAGCAACCAACGACCTTAGCCACTATGATGCTCGATGCCAAGTCTAGAGTCTTGGGGATGGAGGACGGTACAGTACGTACTGTACTGATTCCATAGCCCATGCGATGTTACAGGGTGTCGATTAGTAATATCCTAGATTCAAGTAACTAACTAACTGACTAGTTAACTAAGAGATACATGCCATATCAATAATTCAAGCAGATGCATGATGTTTCATTTACCATAAAGATGATTTCGTTCTGTACAGTAGTGGCTTCCAGTCTAGAACCCCCAGAGCCAAGGGGTTCGCCCCTCTTACCACCATTAAGCATCCGACAAGTTGATGTAATACAAAGGCGTGGCGTCGCATCAGGACCTCTCATTCTTTGGAGGAGATGTATCATATTACCATTACAGCATTTTGTACCAATGCAATGGTGTGTACCACGTACTATTGAACTCAAAAGTCACGATTAAGTCCTGTCCATCCATCATCAATCTTCTTGACCATTTTCTATTTCTTGTTATCTTCAGGTACCTTGTCTCCCGGCTCATGTCCAGTTTTCAATACTAGATGCTAGTATTGCGACTTATTTATCACTGCTTTCCCATTCCAAAGTGCTCTCTTCGTTTCTCCCCGTCATATTTCCCCCCCCTGATTCGGCCCCATCCACCCGCGGTTCACTTGGCCCGCATTCTGATCTCATCGCCGCTTCCAGCAGCCAGCTAGCTTCTTTGTCGCTCACATGGCCACAGCGACTTTAATATCACCATTCTGTTTCCCCCCCGGCTCCAATAACTGATGGTCTCACAGTCTATCGCTCCACTTTGACCCCTTCTTGTTTCCACTTGGGAGTCTCACCCGGGGTTCCCTCAAATCTCTAATTTGTTCTCTTACTTACTATCTTTCGGACACTTCGCGTTGTCTCCGCTTTCTTATCCGGCATTCCGCAGCCTCCCCAGATTCTCAGATTATCAACTGTCAGACTTCCCCGTTTTGACCCTCCTCATACCAATTCCCATTCTCGGCAGAGATGGGCAATTCACAGACAAGAGAGGCCCGGCCACCCTTTCCTCCAAATCGCCGAAGCCATGGCGGTGGACATGGAAGATCACCGTATGGCGACAGACATCATTCAGAGGGCTCCAGATCAACGCGAGGCAGTAGGCCAGATCTCTCCATTCTCGGAATCGGCGGAAGCTCAGAGCGGGATGTTGCGACCCTCGAGCATCGCCGAGAAACGAAGCAAGAGCGAGAGGCTCGCCGTTTAGAGAGGGAACGGGTGGCTCGGGTCAAGGAACGGGAGCGTAGTATGAGGGAAGAACACGTCGATGGAGGTTACCTAGTTACGCAGGGTGTCTATACGGGAACGGAAGATTTCAGCAAGGCTATGGTGAGGCAATTAATGGTAATATGAAATTTGCGCCAACTGTTTGATGCGACCAAGGCTAATTCTTCAGCATAGATCGAACGACGGCTTGCGCCCTTCTGGAGAGGTCTTAACGACTTCTCTGATTCTTGGACGGAGCATCAGCTGATGGCTGCCGCGCGAGGCTTGCCTATTCCACCGCCCGATGAAATTCCTCCAGAGCTAGAGTATAAGAACCCACCAAAAGTTACAGAAGGGGCAAAGGAGTCAACTGATACAAAAGGAATCCAACATCTGACGGTACCTATCACTTCAAGATCACAATCTTATGGCTCCGATGCGTCCCAATCATCCACCCCAGCCCACTCCTTACCTTCCCCAACATCACCCCTGACCTCAGGAACTTCGAGTTCGCCATTGTTCCGCACCCGGGCAAAGACACTCGCCTCTCTTACTACATCTAAACATGGTACACAAGCCGACCCAGCCCCCCGGGAGATGCAGCTCCCTCGTGACCCATTCGTGAATGGGCAGCCCATCGAGGCATACCTTTATAAAGACGCAGCTGAATGCCCCATCTGTTTCCTCTATTATCCTCCTTACCTAAACCGAACGAGGTGTTGCGACCAACCTATCTGCTCAGAATGCTTTGTACAGATCAAGCGTCCCGACCCACATCCTCCTGAGCATGGAGATTCTGATCCAAACGCCCCTGCCGCAACCGCCGAGGGTGATACTGCCGATAGCCAGGATTGTCAACTTGTCTCGGAACCTGCAGCCTGTCCCTTCTGCGTTCAGCCTGAATTTGGAGTGACATACGCGCCGCCACCCTTCCGCAGAGGACTCACATATGCATTAGACCCTAGTGTTCGCCCAAACTTCACTTCCCCAGTATCATCTACATCTTCACTCTCTTCTGGAAATGTTACAGCCGTTACGGGCCGGAGGCGCGCTACATCATTGTCTGCAAATGACCCTACGGTAATCACAACCGATAAGGTCCGTCCGGATTGGGCTCAAAAACTGGCCAACGCTCGGGCGCATGCTGCGCGGAGGTCTGCGGCGGCAACCGCTCTCCACACTGCAGCATATCTGATGAATTCGAATGGCAATGGAAGCGACTCTCGAACTTTCAATATTGGGCGGAGAGGCGTCATGCGGAGAGCTGGCGGTTCGGATCCTCACACTTCTTCTAGCCGCACAGGCTCCCCGGCGCTGCAGGCTCTTGCATTCTTAACGGATCGACGCGGTGCTACAAACGAGACGGACTCTGCTGAGGAAGGGTCTGGGAATATAGCACCGCCACGCAATAGTTCTCGGCGAAACCGCATTGACGATTTGGAAGAGATGATGATGATGGAGGCGATTAGGCTGAGTTTAGCCAGCGAGGAGGAGCGCCGTAAGAGGGAGGAGAAGGAAGCGAAAAAAGAAGCGAAAAAGAGAGAGAAGGAGGCCAAGAAGGCAGAAAAGTCTGCCCGTAAAACCGGTCTTTACAGTGTCAATGCAAGTGGATCCGCTTTGGATGTACCTACAGGGCTAGGGAGGGTTGCGAGCAGCTCTTCCTCTGCTATTGGCGAGGAAAGCACGCCTGCTGGCAAGGGTAAAGAAGTGGATCGTGTATCCCCGGATGCTCCCATCGATACTACGTCTACAAGTTCCGGTACTGCGTCCGCTAGTATGAATGCTGTATATCCGCCTGCGAATTTGGCAGATCAACATCAGTCTATGCAATCTTCCGTCCCTCAATCTTCGCCCAGGGAGTTATCGAAACCGTCACATTTGCGACATGTCTCGAGCGCTTCTTCATCGTTCTCCTCTCTTGTTGAGTCGATGTCTGGCGATCACACTGGGACCACAGAGGGGAACGGCTCGTCTACAGAACCGCTGTTCAATTTCCGGAGTCTAGCTGCCGTTATTGGCGATGAAGACAAAAGGGATGAATCTGCAGAGCACGTAGAAAATACGTCATCAAATCCGCAGGCTGAGGGGTCTGCCTCGCGGTCCGTGCTTCCAGGGAATAATACGCATACTGATGACTCGGTCTCTAAAGCTGACGCCGCCGCATCCGCAGGGTCGGAATTCATGCTACAGGAAAGCCAAGGATATTTAATTCCTAAAGAGCTCGAAACACGTTCAGTTGAGATCACCGACTCTACGGGGAATCCCCAGGCCACGTCCTGAAGGTGCCAGCTTCCCCATTCATTGACTTTCGCACCATCCCCTCTTTCTAATTTATCTTTCTGATATGACCAATTTGGCTGCGAGAGAAGGAACGAGAGACCAGTGGTGCAAATCTGTCGGCGCAGGAGGGTTTTAGTGAAAAGCGATATTGCATTCCTTTTTCAGTGTCTTTCCATTTTTCTACGTTTGCTCTTGACGCCCATGATCTTTGTATTCGCATGACCGGACCGGACGTTTCTTTCTTTCTTTATATACATACATTGGCATAGAACTTGTGTTACTTGATTGACTGTTCGTTCATATGTGTCGGGCGAGTTACTAGGTAGCCAGATTGCATACATATTACTCGATAATGGTGGCTAAGGTAGCCTGTGCGTGCTGACAAGGAGCATTCTGTCTGGATTAGGGTACAAATTGATTTGCTCCGTGCTAGTAGTTAGTCTGAATAGATTTTGGATATACAAAGTGGTGGGATATAGAGCCAGATTCTTGTATTATGTTTTCGTAATGGTACCTATGGGTTAGACCGATGGTACTCAGAGAAGGACAAATGGTGAAAGTAAGTGGACGAGTGGAGGGAGGGCAGGGCAGGGAAGTCAGTAAATAAAAAGAAACATGAACAAGGAACAAATGAACGGAGGGAGGGGTACGCAATACATATTATACGAATGAATGTAGAATAAAAAAGAAAGAATTCCGATGCGGGGAATCGAACCCCGAGCTGCTGTGTGAGAGACAGCGATGTTAGCCATTACACCACATCGGAGTGGTTATGACATTGGTAAAATGTTAAATCTTTATAAGCTAGTAAATAAAAATTGTCTGAGGGCGTCTGTTTCAGATATGCCACGTAGATCCACTTGGGAGACCCTAAATTTACTTGGCTGCGACCTCACGCCACCACAACAATCTTATTGATCAGAAGAGAAAAAAAAAAACAGAGAATTGATCACCCGTTCATGAGTTTTAAATCTATTTTTTATCCATATAATATGAGCATTCCTTGTAATCTCTATATATTATCACATCGTAAGTCAGTAATGAGTAGTTCCCTGTAAAGAACAATTCAATCATGGTTAATCAATTAAATTTTCTTGTACCTGTCCAAGCATTTTCATTTGTTGTTCCGAGATTAGCACGGAATGATTAATACCAAAGTATGACGCCAGATCTTATGAGGATCAACATATCTGCATCGCTCCTGAATGGATCGGCCATTGCCTTTTCAGATTATTTCCATTAGTTTTCTTACCAAGTTGGTCATCGCTACGGAGTACCGACTCTGTATCTGATATCCAATCGATCTTCACCGTGATTCTTTAACTAACTAGTTCATAGTTTCTCATCCACCTTGATCCTGATAATATTATCGGCGATACACAACTGGAACCAAAGATTTAACAGACTTGAAAAGGGCCATTATCGATAGATTTGTCATGTATTAAGGGAGCTCGTTATCTTGAATTCCTGTAAATTTTTATTCATTTTGTTATTATTATTACTCTTTCTTTTCTTTTTCTTTTTTTTTTCCTTCTCTTTTTTTTTGGTTCAAGACTGTAACGAACTATCATCCGAACTAAAAAGGTAGTTCGATCCAATAAATCGATGGATCCATTCCACAGTTCAGCTTTGGTCTCTGGTTTGTTCCTAACTCGACCCAGATTAATCAAAGTGTTTTTTCCTTTTCCCTCTCTGTGTTCCTCCTCTGATTTTCCTTCCTTGTATTAATTACCACTGCATATATTATCTACGTCGACTGATTTTAAGTAAGTTGAGGGCTTGCCAAGTACTCATACTTTTCCGCTGATGCCAATCGCGCAGTCTCTTTGTTATCAATTACGGAGTAAAGTGCGCTGATATCCACCGACGTCAGCCGGCATTGGTAATTGCCCGTCCGTTATTACAATCCCAACCTACGAAGCGATCAGAAGAAGATACAGAGAGAGGCGAGAAAAAGAAGAAGAACCATGGCTATTCTCGACAAGGAAAGCCGTTCTCGCGGTCTCCGAATGCCATCACTTTCTGCGATTAAATCCAGAAAGAAAAACGCCGAATCACCACCACGGAGAGATTCAAGTTCCGACGAAGTCGTGATACCAACACGAATGGACTCGATCCCGGGCCGTTCTCTTCGCTCGCAAGAGAAGGACCTGCCGCCCAACCCGCTGCCTTCTCCTCCCGCATTCCCCTCTGCCCCAGCCGACTCGTTGTCAAACCAGTCGCCGTACCATCACATCAACCCTACCCCTAAATATGAAGACCGCCCGCTTCCCAGGTTTCCTCGAGTCCCCGTTCCCAAGCGGGAGGAGCCGCCGGTTCCGGCTCCGGCTCCGGCTCTTATACAACAAGTAACTCCTCCATCCAGTGAAGACCAGTACCCTATTCACCCTCAAGAACACGTTCGGCCGATCGAGGACCCGCTAGAGAGCTATATTCCCGATCCAGAGCCAGAGCCAGAAATCGACGGTACCAGTACATATATCGAACCGGTTTCAAGCGAAGAGAGTAACGGGCCATGGACGCCGCCAGATTACGACCCCGTCGCCGCACCGCTAAACCGATTACACTATGCTTGCTACCAGGAACATCGGTCGATGCCCACTGCCAACAACCTCTGGCATCCACTTCCATGTATGACCTGCCAGATATATGATCGAGAAATTCGATACCGATGTGTTTTTTGTTGCCTGCGCATTTGTGCCAGTTGTTACCAGACGCTGCAGAAATGCCCGAACCGCTCGCTGGCGCAGCTTATGAAAACGATGCCCTCCCACGAGTAGCTATTCACTCATTACTGATCGTTCTGATCTCTGTCCAGGACATGGACATAGGTTCTATAGTCTAATTTCTTATACATATTTCCGGGGTGACATTCAAAGTTCAATATTTCGCTACGCTCTCGTTGCCAGAGCTTGCCATCTGTTTATGTTATAATGCGTCAAGAAAACTTTGCGGATATTTCGTCGTTATTTATTTATTGTATATACGGTCACTGTAGGCCGTGGTTTAGGGCAATGTATAGTTATTGGGAGTTTGCCTAGACAGCATAGATTAATTTTGATCTGCCATTCTCTTTCTAGCTATCTATATATAGGCATGTAAAGGAACATCGGATGTGGTTTTCTAAGAATCGTATGGTACAAGTAAGTCATTAATCATGATCCTCCTCCGTCACACCTGGACACCCCTCCATTTCTCTGGTCTCATAGCGATATTTGCACCAGAAACAGTAATGGTGTGTCTCACGCAGATACTGCACTATCCGGGCCAGCCGCTCACTCGGCTCGAGTGCATTAAACTCGTCCAGTTCTGGGTCTTCTTCGTCAAGTTCCTGCTCAAGGATAGTTAAGATATCGGGTTTGTTGTCGAACGCCACTGTATCCTCCCGCTCCAGCGTCGGGTCATCATACCCTGGTAACCGTGGGTTGGGGAAAAATGACGATGGCAGGGACGTTTGCAATAGATGACGAGCCTGTATGGAACGTTCTTTCTCCTCCCGTTCACGGACGAGCCCGCGATATAGGATGTTGATTTGCAGGGTCGGTTTGACCCTGACCTTGGGCTGCGGGGTTCTTGATCCACTGGTCGTTTCTTCGGATTCTCCTTCTTCATACTCAGTCGGGGTGTTCCCACGCTTCTTCTGGGTGGTCTCCCCGTCCGCCTCCGCATCCAATCGTTCGGCAACCTTCTGCGCAGCGTGAAACTGAGCTTCCATACGTCGCGTCTCCCGTTCAATACGGACACGATCGCGGTAATCACCCTCTTCCTGCTTTACTTTCTTCACTGCCTCTTCGGCCTCTTCCCGGAACTTGCGTTTCTTCTCGCTATCCAGACCAATACCACCCCGGTCCTCCTTGAACACCAAATTGAGTGGCTCTGCTCGGGCGCCGGATGTGCTATCAGGTTCTTGGTTTGATACTCCCTCACCTTGGGATTTACCTAATGCTTGTCCCGGCTTGAACCCCAGTTTGGCCATCATTTGAAATCCCTTGTTGGAGGGGTTAAGCGTACTGGTGGCTAAGGCGGCATCGCGACGTTCGGCTTCCTGGGCTGCACGTTCGGCTTTGGATGGGACTTTAGCTCGAGCTTCGGCCTGAGTAAAGGAGAGAAGCACATTAGATCACTTGCGTGCCTTGCAGGCGTGAGGGAAATAGAGAACAAGGGTTGGATCGCATCAGCACATGCTACCTACCTCTCTCTGTTGTCGGCGTTTTTTCTGAGTAAACGTTTCTTTTTGTTGCGGCTCCTCAATCACCATAGCCATGTAGTCGTCCTCCTCTTCATCCCCTACATCAGGTGCGGGGTTTTGATGAGGGGCCATTCCCGGTGAAGATGCGCGCGAAACGGACACGGAAGTAGATTCCGGAAATATGGGGTGAGAGACAAACGATGCGGGATTTAGCTCGAGAATTAGAATGTGTATAAAGCCGACACGGCGATACTTCTTCACGCGGAGATTGTCCGAGTAAACCCGGTAGTCTATATGTTGGATGAATCCTCTGGGTTTCCAACTGCGGGGAAGAAAATCGAAGCAGTTTGTCAATGCGGAGGAACGTTTGTTCTCAATCTCTGATTGGTCTATCTTCTCATTCGGGCCCCACAATACGGCACAGTACTCAAGGAAGGGTAGGTACCTCTGAATCCATGATAACTACTACTACTACTACTAGCTCATTCGGCTACGTATATCTATTGTGAGTGAAACTGATACGGAGCATTGCCTCTAAACGTTGATGCTTTAGCGTCAAGCACTGTCCACTCAATCAACTCTCCACAGGTTGTTGAATAAATGGGGTCAGGCAGTTAGTTCATTTCCCCTCCCACTTCTTAGGCATTGCCGATCAAAGTCGGGACACGCGATGACACCATTGATAGCCATGGCTCGAGTCAGCTACTGAACCTTCTTCTGCAAATCTGGCCACTGAGGCCCTTGGCATCGATCAGTTCTCTCATTAGTGCGAATTTGGAGTGAATGCTAGCTCGTATGTGTTCTATGTGCCATACGATGGTGGCCACTGGCCGGTAGGCCCTCAGGCTATATAAGGGCTAGCAACGGAAATGTTATAAAAGACAGCCCAAGTCTACACGCAATTGTGTTTCCCAGACTTATCCCTTCAGATTCACGTATCAGAATGGGAGCACAGGGTAGAATTGCAAATGCTTTCGGAATGGCACGGTACATTATAGCTGCCCAAATCTTCACATTTCTCTGCTTAGCGGCTGCTCGAGAAGTGGTGGTAGATCTTGAGTATGCTCAATACAGGGGTAAAGCGCTTTCGAACGGTCTAGTACAATGGCTGGGAATTCGATATGCTGCCCCTCCTACAGGGGCGTTACGCTTCTCTGCCCCACAGAATCCAAGCACGGTAGCTGGGATCCAGAATGCATTTGAGGTAGAGTTACTTATCCGGGGCTACATACTGCGCGAAAGCTGATGCTTTCTGTCAAGCACGGCCCTACGTGTATTCCCACTAGCGAGTATCCGATTCCCAAAGACACATCTGAAGACTGCCTTTTTCTAGATGTGTATTCTCCTTATAGAGCTGGGGATCATTCCAAGTTACTGCCGGTATTTGTTTGGATCCAGGGCGGGGGCTTCAATCAGAATTCAAATCCGAATTATAACGGTACCGGCTTGATACAGGCGTCTGGCATGGGAATCGTCGTGGTTACCTTCAATTATCGTGTTGGCCCGTACGGGTTCCTCTCGGGGAGGGAGATTCTACAAGATGGAAGTGTAAATAACGGCCTAAAGGACCAGATTAAAGTCTTGGAGTGGGTTCAGAAACATATACACAAGGTTAGGGTTTAGACACTGGCCGCGGCATGATAATGCTAACGAATTGCCCAAGTTTGGTGGCAACCCCAAACATGTGGTTTTAGGTGGTGCTAGCGCAGGACCCGCCTCCATCACCCTTCTTCTATCAGCCTATGGTGGAAGGGATGATGGTCTCTTTCACGCTGCTGCTGCGGAGTCGCAAAGCTTTGCTACCATGCTTAGTCTAAACCAAAGTCAGTTTGCATACAACAACATAGTCATCCGCACTGGCTGTGCAAGTGACGCCGACACCCTTGCATGCTTGCGTGGTCTGGACGTGGAGGTCCTCCAGCGTGAAAATTTCAACACACCCTTGCCTAATGCACAAGAGGCACCCCTATATCTATACGGACCAGTGGTTGACGGTGATCTTGTTTCCGATTATACGTACCGTCTGTTCCACGAGGGTCATTTTATCAGGGTTCCTGTCATTTTCGGCGACGACACAAATGAAGGCACCATATTCGTCCCTAAGAATGTTTCCAAGGTTGGGGAAGCAGATATGTTCATCCAGAATCAATTCCCAACTATTAAATTGAAGCAAATTGCTGCAATTAACGCCTTGTATCTCCATGAGAACCAGACGCGCCAATTCCCGGATGCCAAGCCCTATTGGAGACCTGCAAGTAATGCATATGGTGAGATGCGGTATATCTGCCCTGGGATTGACCTGTCCTCTATCTACGCCAAGGCCGGTATCAACAGTTGGAACTACCACTACGCCGTGCAAGACCCAGACTTGGAAGAATCTGGCCTCGGTGTAGATCATACGGTGGAAATCAACGCTATTTGGGGCCCAAATTATGTGACAGGAGAACCACCCTCATCTTACTTCACTACCAATGCGCCGATCGTACCCGTTATGCAAGGTTACTGGACAAGCTTCATCAAGACATTGGATCCAAATTCTCATCGTTACCCTGGGAGTCCACAATGGAATACTTGGGGCAATGAAGGGTATCGTCGCATCTTCATCAGGACAAACGAAACCAAGATGGAGGAAGTACCCATAGATCAGAGGGAACGTTGCGAATATTTGATCAGCATCGGACCGGAGCTTCAGCAGTGATGCTAACCGTACCTATCTTAACAGCTACTCAACCTGCATAACGCTTAGAGCCCACATGGACAATTGGGAGATATAATTGATCTGAAAGAGTTCTTTTGATCGGCAGCCTTAACAAATAAAATGATAAAGAATATATACACATGTTCGGCATGCAAAGTCTAAGCATCAAGATAATGATAATACCTGAAACCCAACCAAAACCAGCAGGAATGTCGTGAGTAGCGACATGATTACCGCTTGCCCTGGCGCAATCTCCTCTCCCTCTCGTAAGCATTGGCCTCTCTGCCCTCCTGGTTCTGCACCTCGGCCACAAGTCGTTTGTATTTCTTCTCGTACTCGGCATCGCGCTCCTTCTTTTCGCGCAGCTTCTCGCGCGCAATGAAGTTGGCATCCTTGCGTAGTTCCCGCATGGCGCCCTTGCGCTCGCGCTTGTACTCGGCCTTGAGCCGGTTGGCTTCCGCACGCTCGCGGTTGGGGTCGTAGTGCTTGTCTGGGTTGAAGGTATCCTCGAACTTGGGGATGGCGGTTTTAATAGCCAGCGGGCGGTGATCGTGGAGTAGAAGCGGGCGACGAGTAAGGCGGGCTTTCGAGGTGTGGCCGTCGAGTTTATCGAGGGTCGACTGCAGGGTGTCTTGAACAGCGGAGGGAATCTTACCCTTGCAGGATCGGCTCAGGAAGCTAAAGACTTTCTGAGCTTGATCGAAGATCTCAAGGAAAGCAGATATGTCGGACCACATATCGGAGGCGGTGCTAAGGAGAGATATGAATGTGTTAATGAGGGAAATCTTGAGCTCCTCTTGGGCTTTCGGGCTTTCCGGGCCAGTAACGTCCCAGAATTGGAGTTTCCTCGATTTCAGCGATTTGGAGATCTTCAGTCGTAGAGATTCCTCCGGTCTCCGAGACGGGAAGAGACCAAGGCTGCTCTTTGGCTCCTCCGGGGCAAGGTTACACAGAGCGTTGAGGACGTAGTTGATCAATTCGGGCATGTAGCGCTTGGAAACCGATTGGTATTGGAGAGCCAGGCTTGCGGCATAGGCACCCGTTGCAAAATCTGCGAGAGTGTTCACGGCACCCTGTCCCAGGTATCGCGAAAGGCACAGGTGCGCCGGCGTTGCGACGGCGTGGAAGTGATCAGATGTTGGGAAGGTAGTGGCAATTCCGGTTAGAATGACCAGGTCACTGGGCCGGAGATTAAGTGGACGGTCTGCTGCGATTTCACGTAGACGAGCCCTGAACTCCTGAGAGACGCTCTCGGGGTGGCTCTTTGCTAGAGAGTGGACGTGACGGAGGATGTTCTCAAGAATGGCAAAAGGAGGATGCTCGGGCTGTTCGGCCATGTAGGCGACGTGTTGAATAAGGATGCGGGAGAACTGGCCAAGCTTCTTCTTATTGTCCGGGTGCAGACGATGATGGTGTAGAGCTCGAATTCTTTGAACAACCACCGGAAGGTCCTCCATGGGCACATCATTAATGATCTCGAGGAACTCTTCATGATTCTTCGGGCAAGGGTATGTATAAGCCAACCCTTCATTAGCTTCTGGTGCATCACCTGTAGCAGGGACTTCTCCGGCGTTATCGCTAGGGAGAGTAAAGCCGTTGATCAGCTCGTCTTCTTCGTCCTCTTCCACTTCCTCTTCTGACTCTTCTCCAGATAATACCTCCTCATCACTGTCGCCGATTGATAAGCTAACATCGGATCTCGTCTCAACTAGATCATCATCGATTATAAAATCATCCTCGTCTTCGACGCCGAGCTCAGGAAGAGTACTGGTCTGACCCGAAGATTGTTGCAAACCAAAAGCCTTCGCGTCATCTGGGATGGATTCGTCTTCGGACATGTCACTTCCTTCCTCTTCCTTTTCGTCTTCCTCCTCCTCTTCTGACTCACTTACGTCCTCGCCACGCATTCTCCGAACACGCTCTTCTTCTAGAGCCTTCAGCCGCTCTGCTTCTTCCGCGGCCTTCTCCTCCTCTGTCTTTGTGCGGTCCGTTGGCTTGGATCGCTTATCAAACGTTAATTGCTTGAGGCGCTGGTCGTATTCCTTTTCAGTATCTCCTTTGGCTATGCCCTCCATAAGAGCAGCGCGATCTGGGTTCATAGATGCCAGATCACTCTTCGGAGGTTCTGGCTTTGGCGGTGGCTTCACTCCTCTTAGCATTTCGAAAAGATCAGGAAGTCCTTTGTCGAGTTCTTCACGGAGATCGTCATCGTCCTCCTTAGCTTTTTGTCGCTCATACTTGTGAAATTTTGACTTGGCAATGACCTCCTTCATAACTTCGTGTTTTGATTTCTTTCGTTCGGGATGTTCCTCCCCGTCTTCTAAATCCTCTGGGCCATCCATCTCGCCATCATCGAAGAGAACTCGTTTCCTTTTTCGGGCTGCTTCGGAATCTGAGGCATCATCTTCCAGCCCGCCCAAGTCACCTTCTTGGAAATCGTCTTGGTCGACATCGTTCAAAGACTGGCCTTTGTGTGTGAGTTGGAATTCTTCTTCCTCGTCATCCCCCTCCAGATTGAACATTGATTCCTTCCGCATCTTGCGCTGACTTGCTCTAGCATAACGTTCGGCGGCTCTCTCTTCAGGCGTCATAGTCGGGTCATCTTCACCGAATCGACGATCTAATATACCACCGACCTTGTTCCTCTTCTCCATCTCTCGTAATAGCGTTTGGCGTCTCTGTACATTGTAGATCCGTGAGTAAATACAGTGAAACATAGAGCTGCGATAAAACTCACTTTTTCTTCTCCCAGTGACTTGGTGACACCAGGTCGCGCACGCGAAGCAGCTGTACCTGAATTCCCATCTCGAGTTGTCACATCAAATTTTGTCCGTGTACCCCCCGCTTTGATTTCGAATGGATTGAACCGGTCTCGAATTGACTGCAAAGCGGCATTGCGCTGGACTCGATTTTGCGCCGCAGCACCACTCTTCACATTCTGGCGCTTTTGCTTTTTCGACTGCTGTGGCCCCAGCACTCCACTATCGCGGAGAGAGGCCTTGAGCTGCTTCAACTGCGACGGCGGCATATCTGCGTGCTGGAGTGGTCGCAAAAGCGTTCTGTTTCTCCTCCGAAATTTTTGGCGGCGGCAGTATGTCCGAAAAAAAGTTATATTCACCGCCTTTACTTGCTGAATTCTGCCGGTTTGTCTTTAGATCATCATTACTCTCCGCTTTCTACAATACCATGAGTATAGATCGTCCTCGTTTTCAAACCGAACCATGCCCTCTCATATGAATGATAGGTTCTTATGGCTATGCCTAGGTGAGCTTTTTGCGATTCAGTCATGGCAATTGAATGAGCTGCTGACCCTATAGGTGTTTCTCTTTTCTTCGCTGTTCGCGGCATAGTCACGGACCTCCGCCGAGTGCGAGACCTGACGGAGATTAAGCATGTCGAGAAGGAAGATAAGATGATCAGTGAAGGCACGGAAGACGGTTGGTTACATTTTTTCCGAAGTAGATTATTCAGTGGCTAATTGACTAACAGCCCTCAAACTGGACACATTACTAAAGCTCTCTGAGAGCACAAGCTACGACCTCCGGGCAGCGTATGACAGCTCCTGTGTACACGGCCATAATAGGCACTGACATTCTTCATAGTGCTTTGCGTATTATCGCTGAAAGATCTACAAAAGGAGAAACTCGAGATTTGCTTTTGAGGGACCTTGTAAGCACAGACGAGGAGAGACGAAGCAAAGCCCTCAGTGCGATGTACTTCCTAGTATCGAACCGCTCATGTACGGACCTTACATATTCGGCTTAGTGATATCTCAAGTTGATACTGATTGCTACGATTTAGTTTCCCGGACCTCCATCTGTGCCAGACTGAAAGACCCGCCCACATACAACGCTCTTGTCGACTGTCTCTGCAATTTCCTAAACGAACATACCAAGGAGACCTCCACCACAGTATCGCCTATTTTACCCAAAACTAGACCTCTCGGGGAGAAAAAGGCGCTTGGTACACTAAACCTAATTCTTCCAGAGAATGTGCCCGCAGCTCTGGAGGCTGGCGTGATCAGTCGTTGGCTCTCAAAATACCCGTTTCCCTGCGCGCTTTCGGAGCCATCGCGCCGGCAAGACGTAGTGATACTCATGAAGACTTGGTGGGCCGATGATACTCTTATGAGTTCAATATTTAGCACACTCTCGTCCCATCCGGAGGGAACGAAGCAACTACGCAAATATGGTCTAATGGGTAGCATGATCGAGGAAAACGACCAGGATGACGATGACAGTGATATATGGATGGTAGATGGTGATGATACTGCCGGCTCAAGTCGAGTCCCTGGGAGACGCTTGCGGGAACGGAGTGCTGAGGAGCAGGCTGTGAGGAGACGAAGGAGAGAGGCTATGGTGTTGAGTGATGGAGGACGACCACTTGGTCATGAAGATATCATTCAACTGCCTATCTCCGAATGATTGACGACGGGTTTCCTTTTGTATTTCCTCCATTGTGAGAGGAATGGAATTCATCTACTTGACGGCTGCACTATGTGATTGTTGTAGCTATTTGTTCATTTTGCTTTTATGATACCCTTTTGTCCCGATATTACATAGCCTGTTTCGTTAATGTTTTTAACTGTACAATTAGGATAATAATATTCATAGTCCAATCCATGCTGATTTGGCAGCGTGATCCACCTTCTTCCGACTGCTTTTAAGCATACCAAGCGCCTTGAGCTCTGATACCGCCCGATAAAACAATGTCATAGTCATCCGTTCGTCGCAAGCGTTTCCTTGTTCACTCTCGAACACCGCATAAAAAGCCTGCCAAAGGTCGTAAACGTTCACCAGTGCCCCGGACTCGAGATATAGCTGATATAAGATAGCCGTGGCTGGCTGTCGCGCGGAAATCTTAGCCTCCACCCTATCCGACATTGACATCAGGTAGTCGAAAGGATTGGCTAAGGCACGTTCGATCGCGAAACGTGGCCTAGGAGAGAAGATTTCCTTCAAAGGATTTTTCATATCAAGAAGAAAAGCTTCATGCAAGAACAGGTCTTGTGGTCTCACCAATGTTTCCACAAAGTACCTTTCTGACAGAGCATGAACGCGATCGATTACCTTGGTATACTCAATATTCTGCTGGGGTAATTTGGCTTTGCTCTTACTGAGCTTCACCCGCTGTTGGACCACAGTTGTCGCCACGATGGAATTATGGCTATCATACTCACTCCGGAGCGGCTCCGTGCCCTGGTATGTCTGCACAAGAGCTTCGAAGTCTTTCTTTATTTCTTGGAACTCCAGACAGTCAGTCAGGTTTTGAGGCAAAAACGTAAGGAATTCCTTTAGCTTGGAAGAATCCAACGTTTTCAGGCCCCTAAGAAGGTCATCCATACAAGTAGAATCTTGCAATTCTCCAGATAGTGCACGAATTGACAAATCTGGCATCGTGAAATTTTTTCTTATATCCATGCTCTTAAGGCACAGATAAATTGTCTTGACAACCTGAAATATATCTCTCATCCGTTGCTGTCCGATCTCCATGTACTTTAAGCTTTGCTGAAACAGAAACTCGTCGTTCTCCAACAAGTTGCGCACTTGTTCAGTAGAGGCATCATCAAGCAGATGTTCGCAAAATCTGGTGGGGTTAGTCAAGAAAAGGCTAAGTGGAGGTACTATATCACCTTCGGAATGATGGAAGATTTCTAATTGCTTCGCAAAGCTTCTCGTCTTGCATATTCACGGAAACCCCGTTTGATAGGAGTATTGCCAATGGATTTGCAAAGAAATGTGTCATGTACGCATACTACCCCCATTAGAATTGATCGGTTTAGTAGGTGTAATATGGTGAATACCTTGACTGTCCGAGTGAAGGCCTCCGGTGTTTGGAAATAGTCATTCGATTTCTCAAACAAAACTCCTGTAATATTGCGCCCTAGCCAGAATCGTCCGTTTTGGTCTGCTTGTAACCGCTCATACATGCGATCAACACAGTTACTTGCTCCGTGAATCTCAAAGTATCTACCTCTAAGAAGGGCTACGCTTGACCGAGGAAGCCTTCCTTCGAAGAGTTCAACGGATGTTGAGATACCAAACAATAGGGTAAATGGTATCCGATCAAGCCAGGAACTAGAACAATTAACTTGATGGACTAGTAAGGATCGTGGGCCTTACCTTAAGAGGGACAGGAGATCAGTTAGAATGTTCGGATCAAAAGCTTCGCTGTCACGGAATGCTACGACCAACTTCTTGATCCCTTTCCTTTTCACATAGTCTCCAAGTAAATCGAGATCATACCCAAGAAGTCTAGGCCCCTACGGCATTCTTAGCATCTCGCCCATATGGGGTTTGGACGGGGCAAACGCACCTCTCGATCCGTCAAGAAATTTTGATATCCATCGTTACCTTCAGTGTTTGTGACGGCAGCTCGGATAATATTCTTCAACGTTGCCTTAAGGTTGGGCGCATCGCCAGATTCCAGTATGACCACTCCGCCTTCTTCTGACGCAGTTAATTGATTATTGAGCTTAGCTAACAGTCTGCCCAGCGATGAAACATTGGATCCAACTGTTATTAATGCTGTGGGGATGCATCCATCATATCTATCGTTGGTTAGGAATTTCGAAGCGCCTTCGTGTCCAAACAACGAACTACCTACGTCTGATGCGAAGTCGACCTAACAAAGGATAAAACGTTCTCGAGAACTTCGGAATCCACGTCATCTAGAATCTCCTACCTGCCGTTAGCAAGACACACCATACCCAGCCAATCGGCAAGCATCTATTGTTTGCGAACCTGGATCTTGGTTTCTTGAGTTGACCACAATAGCCGGTAGGCATTGTACCTCAATTCGACCGATGACTCGTTTTCCTCGCCGTCCAGTAAGGGAACAAAAGGGTGCGGTTCACTTTTCTGTTCCTTATCCTCGGGTTGCACCTTTCGTCGCTTCGAAGGTCGCTCTCCGTGAGCTTTCGCGGAAGTTGCAGATCGATAGATGTACACACCCTAGAAAGCATTAGTGAATTTGTAATGGATTTTAGCCATCAGCGCAGGACAATACCTGAGTGTTTGAGCCATCCTTGGCTACACCCTGCGTTTCCGTATCCAAGTCCATAGTAGGTAAGCTTCGAGACAGTCTGCCCTCTGTCGTCTGGGGAGGAGTGAATGTAGAGCGATTTACTGAAACCGCGGCGGAGCTCGCGTTGACGCTAAACCAAACCGGGTGGTATTGATTTTCCGCCGCGGAGCTCCATGCGATAACTCTCCGCAAAACTTCTACTTTATTACTGTCACAGCAACTCTTGCTCACTAGTGCTCTTTTGTCAGATGATCTAACCGCCTACACTTCATGCTGCGCCAAGCTGTTCGAGGAGCTCGGTGGTATCAGCATGCGGCGCTCAGAACACCGTCGGCTCCGTCTCTTCCTTTACGGCGAACATTCTCCGTCGTAGCGCCACGCTCCCTCCAGTATGGCGGCCCCAATGACAAGGTTCGGTTTTACGAACAAGATACTCGCGGGAGCAAAAAGAGAAGGCAGGTCAATCCAGAAGCCGAAGACAGCGCCGATCGGGAGGAAGTGGAGGGCGAACTGGCTAGACTTGAGAAGGAACTGCAGGATTTGAAAGAAGGCCCTTACGGCCCTAATAGTCAGTTCATCAAGGAGCTACCCGAGAAGGAGAGAGCCATTGCACTAGAAGCTCTGAGAAAATATGAGACGGAGCATGGCAAGGATGAGCCCGATATTGGCCTTGAGCAGGTTTTTGATAATGAGCTGGATGAGATGTTGAAAGAGGAATTCGAGGGCCTGGCCAAAGAAGAGGAAAACTGGAATTCGACAGGAAAAGACAACTCGCTAAAAAAGCCTGTACGGCGCCCCTACGAGGTTGCAGTAACGACTTCGGAACAACATTCCTATATTGAGAAATTCAACCAATGCCTGACCCGGATCGCAAGCGATGGATCAAACGAACGACTCGGGCCGGAGCTATGGAAATGGTACCGTCGTTGCAAACAGATGATTCCCGAATTCCTAGAGTCAATACCCGAGGAAGCTCTGACGTTGTTATGGCATGCTCAAGCTGGTGACCACACAAGATCTTCCCGCGCAAGCCATATCCAAATACTCGCTGAGGACGCAATGTCAGTTGGAAAATCGCTCTCGACGCCACATCTGCTCTCCTACATTGAGTCGCTCCGAGAGACTGGCAAAACAAAGGAAGCGCTAGATCAGTGGGAGGCACATCAAACGGGGCTCTCGCAAAACAAGCAAGACCTTGAAGCATATTGGAAATTGGGTGTACGGCTCTTTGCTGCTGAAGATGACCCTCAGCGAGCACAGGACATCGCTCTCGCATTTTTGGCAAATGACAAGTCACGCGAACCTCGCATCCTCCTTCCAATTATTACTGCTTGGGGGCGGCAGCCTGGCAAAGAAGCTGAGGTCAAGGCGTGGGCTTTATACCTACAACTGAAAAGTCTTCTTGAGAACACATTAACTATGGGTGATTATGATAATATCAGCATTGGTCTTTTAAAAGCCGGTAGACCGAGTCTGGCTATCGCAGTGTTCAAAGATATGATGGTGACAGGGCAGGACCCAGCAAATGATTCGACCTCCCTCTACACAGCAGCTGTCGGCCTTGTTGGTCATCTCCAGGCGTCGAGTATTTCGGAGCAGGATGTGAACAGGGTGTCGCTTTCCACGCTAACAGTCCTACCTCGGAGGTTCCAGAACCGATTCTTCTATGCCAGCTGGATGAAGAAGCTCATTGGAATGGGTGAAGTTGACTCTGCTGCACTGGTGATTGAGTTGATGTATGAACGGGGAGTGAAGCCGGATTCAAAACATCTCAATGGGCTGATTGCCGCTTGGCTTCGTGATGGCAATCCTGACGCGCGAGAGAAAGCTGAACGACTGGGGTGGTCTATGGTTCAACAGCGGATTGACAGTGTTTGGGCGCGCACCAATTCGGCTGGAAGCTCTCCTAAATTGACCGTAAGCCCCGATCCAGATAGTCCTCGCATACCCAAGTGGATGCGGCGAGAGATTCCATCCGCGAATATCGAGACATTTTCCATTCTACTCCTCCATTATACCCGAAGAAGCGACGATGGCATGGTCAAATATCTAGTCAAATGCCTCGGCGATGCTCAAATTAAGCCAAACTCCTACTTCATGAACCACATCCTATATGCCGAGCTCCGGAAACAGGATATCGGATCTTTGTGGGACAAGTTCCGAACCATGTCTACGTCGATCCAACCGGATCTGGAAACCTTTGCTTGCCTATGGGACTGCGGTAAACTTCAGTATGACCGCGGTCGCACGGCATTTATTGCAGACTTTCCGTCTGCTCGCGGCCTTTATGCGGAGATGATGCAGTGGTACTCTCGCCTTCCTACACGGGCCCAAGCCGCCACGCAAGGAGAGTTCTCAAAAGAACTCTATAACCAAATTATTCGTTGTTTTTGTCTCTCTAAAGACCTCCCTGGCACACTGATTGCCCTTTGCTCGTTGAGATCAACATTCGGGTTCTCTCCCGACGACGCGACCGCTCGTCTCATAGTCCTACAAGTTGCACGGATGGCCGGTGTCCCGCCCGACACACCCAAGCGCCGTCTCCGTCGCCTTTCAACGACTCCTAGAAGCAAGGAGAACATCTCCCATGTCAACAGGCTAGTGGAGATCTTGAGCGAGCGCAAGGTGTCTGCTCTCCAGGCGCGGGGGCTTACTCTCGAGACTCTCGAGCCGCAGGAGCGGGAGCAGTATCAGCTTGATATAATGACTGACCTTTTACGTATTATCATGGGCCGGGCTGCCACTGAATTGAGCAGAGTTGAAGATCAGATTGCGTCCGTCGCAGAAGAGATGAATGTTGTGGGGATCGACCTTAAATCGTCGCTGGAGGATAATGACCTTTTACTGTAGGTCCACACCAGTCATCATTTTAGTAATCAGGAAAAGTACATCATGGTGTTTAGCGGCATTGCTTTGGGAAAGAAGAGTGGCATGCAACATACGGATCGGCGTTCAGGTGGTGCTATGTATATACTCCTGGCTCTTGTGTACTATAATAGATTTTTCCTCTCTTGAGCTATCTTGGAACGCTGGGGCTGTCCTATGTTTCTGAAACCCAGTGGCTAATAAAAAGTTGCCCCTCCGATTGGATTATCTGCTAAACCACTTGTGCTATATAACTAGAACCAGGCCTATCCACGCAAGGTGTAAGCCTATTAACCCTCTCCACACCAGGCACCACCTACCGCAACAGAAACTTAAAAGACCACAGACCACCCAGTAGTCCAAGATACAACGGCACAGACGTTACAACCAAGGAAGCGGCCTCGTTGCGGACATTGTATCTCGAAAAGTGACATGTGCTTGACCCAACATAATGACTCGGATGAGTGCCTCTGATACACTGGGTCATATTGCCACCCACCCATCTTTCAATAATCCTATTAGACACTTTCAAGTCGGGCGTAGGAGGGAAGTAACGCTCAGGAACTTCACACCAGTATTGGTGCTCGTTGTATCTATGGATGATATTTGGCGTGCAGCAGGTTCGGAGTGCGTCCAAGTCTTCTGGTTCGTTCGGTTGATCGCGAATGTAAAACGAACATACATCTTTCGAGTCCAGTTCGGGTCCATATAAGCTTTCCAGAGTTTCTATAGGCAGCTCTGTTGTTGCCGTCGTTGCCGTCGCTTTTTCTGTTGCAGACATGGTGTGGATCTTCGACCGGGAAAGATCTGATTTTCTTGATCTCGTATAGAGGATGATGAGAAGATCAGGTGAAACTTATAAAATACTAAGAGTATGCAGATCTCACGATCAGGGGATGGCTTAAGTTTCTTTTCTCCGCAGACCATGCTGGATCATCGCGTTTCCTACCTTATATGCCTGCGGGTTGAACAATTATCCTGCAGCTCCATCCTTCTGTTTCTCCGCCGAAATGAAACAAAACAGGAGAAATGCAGACAGTCTTTGTCTAAAGCCAACGCGGTTACTCGTCCAATCAGAGATAAATGCATCGAGCACAAGGGCCTCTTTCTTGTTTCTCTCCATTCGGGGAGAAGTCGACAATCCAGCATTGGTGGAGCCGACGCTGCACGGCCGCCATTGAGTTGCATAGCATAGCAAGGCTAAGGCCAAGGCACACAAAGATACAATAGTACTTTGAAATCCAATTGGCCAATTTTAAACATAGTGTATCATAGACTTTTGCCGGGCGTAGTCTTTGTCTGGGTGGTCTGGGTCAAGTCGTACCTGACTACATGCCGCAGGGCAGGGCACTAATCGTCTGACTCTCATGAAGGAAGTTACTGGCCCTCGTCGGCATTTGTGGGATTTCATTCTTTCTTCTACCTGGATACACAAAAGCAATTCTGTTGCAAGCCGAAGCCGTCACTATAATCTACACAGAAGATGTTGATCTTGACTACTCCGCATGGAGATATTGCTCTCCAAGCTTATCCGTATGGGTCTGACCGCAAGCCTGCAATTTCAATCTTTTTGACAGCCCGCGTTCTCTCTCGTCTCTCCCGCTCGTGTACTTTACTAGTACAACTCTCGTTGAGCTCCTAAGGTAGCTAAGGAGGGGCAGACTGACATTATACTTGGATAAGGTTTAAGGGGTAACAGCACAGAATGGGGTTAACGCGCTATATATAGAGAGTGCAATCAGGAGCTGTTGTACGTTGAACCGTGCCCTATGCAAGTTATCCAGGCCTGCCGTGCTTATTACATACTGCAAGTCAAAATGTGTGAAATAGTCCTGAAGATCTCCTTCCTCCTTTGCCTAAGCCTGTCTCTAGCACATATAATCCACGTGGACAACACATCAGGCACAAACAACACATTGGAAGAGAGACAGCTCATGGGTCACCATTTTATGTGTTGTATGGGAGACTGCAGTTACGAGCTTGTCGGAGATGGAAACCCACATACGGATTATCTCCACCGGCAAATGACCAGTACAGGAGATTGTCGAGATGGCCCAGGTGCGAAGGGCTGTGGGGTAGGATTCACTGCGAGTTATACATTTGGGTACACAGTCTCAGCCGGAGCGAACGTTGGGTGGTTCGCTCCTGGTTTCTCAAGTGTCCGCTTTCATCTGTCGTGGAGCTATACCCTCCAGCTCACTACAGGGTACAGGCAGTCGAATGAGCACCGCCAGTAGTATTATTATGTAAAATCTACTTTCGATAAATTATAAAACCATGATGGTTATCAGATCGTCGATCAGATTCATAACTGGCCCCACATATTCTCGGCTGGCAAGTATATCTAAGGTGTGTCGATCATCCCATTTATCTAAAAAGGTAAGATTGGATGATAATCTCGCAGATCTGGCCTAGGAGAACTTTATGCCTGAATCCCCAGTCCATTGAGGGTAATTACACGCGTGATTGGTGGTAAGATTACCCCAAAAAATATCATTGATCAAATACCAACTGGTATATATGTATTTACTTGAGCATGTCTACTTCCAAGACAGGGCCTCGACCACTTTTCAACGACATCGTCAAGTAATATAGATCCCACCAACGAAGCCTTTTATCGTATGGAGCTTCATTTCTAGATCCACTGGGCATAGAGAGATTATGATAAACAGCTACTACTGGGTTGGAGTGGGTTTTCGGCAGATTACTCTGATCGTCACCGGCTTAAGCTTTCCTCCGGTGCCCAGAAAAGCTAATTCCAGTCAAGCTTCGGACCAAGATGTTTCATCTTAGGGATCCCCACGTACGGAAAATCTTGCATTCATCTACTCAATGGGGTGGGATACGTTCGCGGGCCCAGAAAGCGTGACAAATTGCTATCCGGACTACCTCCGTCCTAACGCCCTAGCCGCACGAACAAATCTTGAGACTTTGAATGCACAGTCTTGGCTCCTGGGACTTGAAGCCCAAGTATTTCGTCAGCGACATCATAACAGTTGCTAATTCTGATAAGCCAGTCTGGGATGACTCGATATACCGAGCTGGTTGTACTCCTACGGCTCTCCCTATTGTCGTGATGTGACCCCTCAGAAGCCAGAACATTCGGCTCATCTACATATTAACGCAGGGTGATCAATGCTGCTCAAGGTCCTCGAACTAATAAGTTCCAGATCAGCACGTCCACAGTGCTATTCAATACCTCTCCAACGTAGATGCCATGTCATTGCTAGTAGTAACCACTTTAGTCAACAATATGAGTGCCAGAGAGTGCATGTGCACTGGTATCATTGCGCTACCGGCTACAGTTGGGGGGTACAAATGGCCAGGTTACTTGCGAGACAGCTGATCCTGTTTGTGATTTACCCAAGACAAAGGATTTCCAACCGCGTGTTTATATGGTATGTTATTGTGTATCAGTACCGAGACCTGGTTTGTTGGCCTGCATGGAGCGTGAATTGAGCTCTTGGAAAGCAAGGCATATGGTGGGACATAAGGTCATACTTTGACGCTGAAATTCAACCAAGTCTCCATAGTCTAGTGGTTAGGACGGCGGTCTCATAGCAATATGACAATTCCTATCTAAAGGAGTTGCAATCCGCAAGCACGAGTTCGATTCTCGTTGGAGGCACTTTCTTTTTTGCCTCCTGGTCCTCATATAAACCTGATACATCGTCTATTTTACAAACCGCCTGATCATTGCGTGTGATATCTTTACCCCAGGAGTGTGCATTTGTCTTTCTGAACACCGTAGTAAATCTCCGGTGAGAAGGGCAATAAATACCACTATCGATCACTCTCGTCGACTAGCATCGCACACACAACTGCGGCCATAGTCAAGATATATGCATTCGACTATCAAAAAGTTCAAGTGCGCTCACTGGTATTGCGATGGTGCCCGGCATATTGCCGAGTGTGAATAAACTAAGCCAACGGAATGTTATATAGGTGAAATTGACAGGGTAGGGACAGCTCATATATAGGCCATAAATTCAGCTTCGGTGCACATCCACGACCTGCATTCGCGGTTATCCACCCTCGATGAACGGACGGAGTGGGCCCAGGATATGCAAAAGGAAAATAGCAAAAAAAGAAAGTGCCTCCAACGAGAATCGAACTCGTGCTTGCGGATTGCAACTCCTTTAGATAGGAATCGTCATATTGCTATGAGACCGCCGTCCTAACCACTAGACTATGGAGACTTGATATATTATTCGGCCTTGACATTACGCTACATAGCCCTAAGATTTTGTACCCGAGTCGCCGGATGGCTCCAAGGACTTACTTTCTTTCACAGTACCTCTTCCCCTCCATATTAGATTGTGTGGACCACATTTGAATTGCCATATATTTTATCCCGTATTTATGTTATTAATATTATCATTCATTTGGCGCGCCCTATACGTGATACCAGCACAATGTTACCAGGTTGAGCATAGATATATATATATATATATATGCTCTACGTGGATTGCAATAGGAGCAAGCATTTGTATCTATATAGAACATCGCCAAAAGCTCCATGCACCATCGCAAAGTGGCATACACCCCCCATGTATCGAGTAACCAACCAATCGCCAGACAGACTCATATCAGTAAGAAAGGTAGCACCCCCCTTACTAGAATTAGGAAGCTCGACAAGGATCAAACGACAAGACCGACATGGCCAAGGGTTAAGGTTAAACGCAATGGGAACAAATAACCACCTATCCCAGGAGGTGCCCCCAGACATGCGGAGAGAACGAAACCAGAGTACTACAGGGGACAAGGTCTAGATGAGGCGGGCTGATAATAAACCCCCTCTCCAGAAACCAAAATTGTAGTAGCCCACCCTACGGTTGACAACTCAGGCTGATAACTCCCTCAGAGACGAAAACTGTAGTACCTGGGTTGGCTGAAGACCCGACATAACTTGCCCTCCAAGGTAAAAGCCTTCGAAGCTACTTAACCTCTCTAGTCGACAGGTCATAAACACCAAGATACTCAACGTTCATCAGCCTCATCAGGAAAACATTGCTATATACTAGCTATGGTCCCCAATAAGGCTTGACCCTAACGCCCTAAAGATCCCCCAAGTCAACCGGTAGATTGAGAAAGCATTCAGCATGGTCTACCGAGAAGGTCTGTTGGTATGTCAGCAATACCATCACTGGTAAGATTAGATAACTGGGTTACTAACTTGAAATCTAAGCCGAACCAAGTAAAACCTCATATATATACCATGGCCACCGAGATATATGTCAAGTCAGCATCTAGACCAGCGTTCTTATACCGAGCGACATGGCCGTTGGCGAATTGCCTATGAACCCGGTGTAACATAGACAAAATGTCTTGCTCGTCCACCAGACTGCATATACTGGATAGTTAAGTGCTAGCCGAGGCCTGGTATAGAGACATCAATTTGCCGGGCCCCTTCAAACATCCTTACTATAGACATCTTAAGATCCTGAGGACGTTGAAAACATCGTTCTCCCAGCGGCAAGCTGGCCTATCCACACTGAAACTTCACAGGATAAAGAAACACAAGGCAACGCACACCAGGATAAGCGGAAAAGGTAGTAACTTGAGCTTATGTTTTCTATATCACCAGCCCAACTGTGGCCCCCCAGAGTGTTAATACGATTGACCGAAGTCAACAACTGAAATTTAGCCCAACCGATAGTATAGTTAACACTCTACACAAGCACCGGGTACTTCTGTCTAGATCCACGCCCTCCAGACAATGTTGGACTAAAGTTCTGGAGTTCTGATACTGTTATCTTGTCCTTCAACATATACATAACGAGGTTGATGTATCGACATGGTCACACAAATCATAACGAAAAATAAGACAAAAAAAAAGTTAACACGAGAGAGAAGCAAAAATACGACCGACCTGGGACTCGAACCCAGAACCTTCAGTTTTGATCATTGACCAATGGCCTACTAGGAGACTGACGCTCTACCATTGAGCCAGCCGGCCCAGAACCTAGTTAAACGGTAACCAATATTGACACTATCAACCTGTGCTTATTTTCGAGAGAAAGTTCCTCATCTTGTTCGAGTGTGAACATACATTACAGCAGAAAACCTGGCGGGCTGTTTTCGTGACAGGGTGGAAGATTGACATTTATGTTACAATAACGGGCTGTTTCGCCCAGGGTATACTTTCTCGCCAAGAAGAGAGAAGTGTCGCGCAAAGGTAACCAGCCAAGAAACACCACTTGTCTCTCTTTTAACACCAAGTTATATTGAGCACAAAGTACAGATGCGTATGATGGAAAAAGTGTAAGAGTATCTTTTAATGCATGAATAAAATCGAAGAGAGAGAAACACGAGCGTGAAACCATTATTTCTTGCCCTTCTTCTTCTTCTTGCTTGGGGACGCTGGACTCCCAGCCTGCTCATCAGCCTCGACCAAAACAGCATCGTCATCGCTTCCAGTTACGGAGGACGGCGCACCAGATGACTCGGGGGTCTTTGTTGCAGGGGTGGAGTTGCTGGTCGTGGTAGGAGTCGTGTCGGTCGGAGCTTCGGTTTTCTGTGAAGGTGCGGTCGAAGTAGAGTCCTCGGCGTCCAATTCCTTCATGAAGCCTTCCTTGATGCTGGCTCTCCTCTTTTCCCACCATTGACGCTCCTCGTCCAGCTTAGCCTGCTGTTCAGCGATGCGCTCGCGGTAGAGGGTGTTGTTCATCATTTCATTGGCAGACTGGAAAATCGTTTGGCCCCAACCGGGTACATATGCGTTGGCCTATATTCGAACCATTTAGTGACCACATCCTCAAGATGCCCCAAAGCGAAGCACAAAGAGAGAAAAACCAACCTCAGAAACAACATCGCGAACCTCATCCTCCATCTCCTTCTCCGCCCTCTGAAACCGTTGCCACAGATCATCACCCACACTACCGCGCTGAAGCAGCACAGATAAAGCCTGCTTCTGACTACGCAGGGCCAAAACCCGCTTGATATCCTCCTCTGCACGTCTCAAAAGCGCAGCCTTAAGCACCGACTCAGGTACAGCGGGCGCCTTCTTCTCCTTAGAAGAGGTGGCAGGCGGGTCAATGTGAAGAAGGGAGAAGTAGATATCTCGTTGCAGGTGAGCAGGGAACCATGGTTCTAGAGAGTACGCCTTTTCTAAACGTTGTTGGTTAGTATACTGATGAACGTGGCTTTTTCAAAACGGTGCTGAACATACGGGCTTTGCGCTTGCGGTATAATGAGGAGAAGGTTGCTAGGGAGCCGATCAGGACGCCTAGGTAGGCGAACGGCACGGCGAGACTGAGCCAATTTACCATGGCGTTGTATAGGACAACTATGGTTGTCCTGGAATAGCTATCGAACGGAGTTTAAATGTTGGCGGGGAGTATTTAGGCTGGGGTCATAATATCGTCGCTGGGTGTCGTGTAAAGCCTTTGCAGCGCTATCTGCAAAGAGTGTTGCAATTAAAAATTGTGCGCGACAATAAGCAGCACAATGTCGGAGTTGTATGAGGGAGGGAGAGATACTCGTAGTGTTCTTGCCGCAGGAAATCTGGCGAGGCGGTGATGATCGCGCTCCTTCGGGAAAGGACAGGCTGGTGTCTTGGCCGCGTCACATGTTCACTGCATACGGTTCAATTCTCTGGGATCTATTTACTCAATTCTACTCCCTAATCAATGATGCTTTGGTGTCCGATGCATTTTATCTACAAGCTTGTCTACAAATTTGAAGCAAATGAAATGCCTTAAAGCATACATGCACGAGTCCACGTTCGCATAAAAGGAAAAAAAACACGGCCCTTAGAATCCGTAGTACCAACCAAAAAGAAACACTTTGCAGGCTTTCAGAACAGCCATTCCGTAGATGATGAGCAAGATAAGAAATGTAAAACACGATAGGTATAGTTTGAGGGTAGAAGAGACAAGAGGGTAAAAGAAAAGAAAAGAGTCCTAGAGCCAGCATTGACTTCATTACACAAGTCCATTGTCAAAAAACACAAACACCCCTAATTCAACCCTATACCAAGAGAAGAAGATAGTGGGTAGGAAAGAAAGGAGATGGAGAAAGAGAGAGGATGAGGGAGAGAGATTAAGGGGTGAAGGCAAGGGAAGAAGTGAATTAAGGGATCTCCTTCTCTTAACGTGGGCAGCAGCATGGTTACAGGTGTTCGAATGATGAACCCAACTGGTCCTTCGTCCTTTGACTGATAGGGCCAATATCTTGCATTGCCTGCATGTCTTCGAGGATCTCATTGAATGAGTCCCGGATGCCAGCGGCCACTTTGCTGCGGTTCCATTCACCCCGCGTGCGCCACAGATAATCCATTAGGCTAGTGTTGATCTGCTCAAGCTGCTCCACCGAGCAACCACTCGTCCGCTGGGTGAGCTGCTCGTGTAGATTTTGGACGTACTCAAGGTCCACAATTAGCTTTGGTGAGCGGTCCTCATCGTTCAGTATCGAATGGAGATTAGCTGGCGGATGAGATGACGGCTTCGTAGATTCATCGAAAAGAGGCACGGGTGGTTGTGTTTTTGGTTGCGACTGACTGCCATTCACAAGGTGTTCGGGCTGCGAATCTGCGTTTCCGGGGAGGGAATCACGGGGCCTTGGTGACGGCTGGCTGCTGTCACCTTGCTGTGTGTCTGGTAGATGCTCTTCTAATCCCACCCGGTCTGGGTACTGGGTAAGGTCAGGGAAATCGTGCCTTATTGCTTGACCTACTATGGGACTTTGCGTATAGTTTGGTCGGAGAGATGATTGATCCGACGATTTTTGGCCTGAAGTTGTCTGCGTAGTAGAAGCTTCGTTGGTATAATCGTGTGGCTGAGATCCCGGAGCCATTGGAGTCATTGGCCCCTTCTGCGAGAAGCTTGAGAGACCTGATTCACGTCGTATCTGCTGGGAAGGCGCTGTGTGGGAATATGGTGGCTTTGGTTGTGCAGATGGCCCAAATGAACTGCCCTGTGTGTCTCTTGTGCCCGAGTGATCTTCCGAATTAGTCATGTAGACATCGCCGTCCCCATCTGGCCTCGACTCATGTGAACCGTTGCTTGTCGGTCCATGGCCGCTTAGATCATTAAGATCTGAGCCTCCGCTTTGATGGTAGCCGTTTGTCAAGAAGCTTGCCGTTGATTGCCGTGTCGGTGTCACCGGTCTGACCTGTTCTTTGGGAGGGAGGGCGGGGAATGTCTCGCCTAACACCACAGGGCCACTCGAAGGACCGGACTCAGTATTACCATGCGGTACATTATGGTTCGCTGTATGACCCAAAAAGCCTCCCTTTTCCGCTTCCTCGGCCCTCTTAGCCTTTTCAGCTGCGAGCTTCTCCCTTTCCAATTCCCGAATGTAGACATTCTCGCATTCTGCGACGAGCTGCGGTTCAGCCTGCTCGATGGTGGAAATATCAACTTCAACGTTAGACAGAAGCTCGTTGGCCCTCAAGATTCTCTCTTGATCGCCAGTTTGTCGTGCATCTTTGGCCAGTCGTTTTATATCCGCCAGGAAGTCACTGGGCCGTTTGTAATATCCATTGGAGAGGCGCTTCTCGATGGTAACGATTTCCATATTGTAAAAGAATTTACCCGACACGGTTTCCCAGAGTCCCGGGACGCCGTGTTTGTCATAAGCCTTTTCGAACGGCCGGAAAGTAGTCCGCTGTTCAATCGGTAGATCGCTTGTGACGGTATTCGGATCCTCTTCTTCCCAGAGGTACCGGATCTGAGACTCATCGATCACACCGGTTCTGAACCGTTTGTACTTCTTGATCTGATCCATGATAGGCTGGATTCTAATCTTCAGAAGATTCAGCGTTTGGTGATCTTTCTTTTTCTGGGCTTTTAGCTGCTCCTTGGTGAGCGGCGTTGCGGGTTTTGTTGGAGGCGGAGGTGCAACCTCCAGAGTTTCGAGTTCCCTCTTCTTACGGTTTTCAGGATCCGGAAAATGCGCTGGCGAGGTTTTGATGTACTCAACCACCTTGCTGAAATACTCGTACCGCGCTTCATTTCCTGGCGCTTTCAGGTCGTAGAAGTTTCTCTTAGAGAACCCAAACATTTGCCGTAGCAACCCGGTGTCCGGTTCGTCACCAGTTAGCTCCTGGACTCCGAGTAGCAAGACAGGATCGGTGGGAGGGATCGACCGCAGCAAACCCAAGAAGGTGGAGAGCACGGCTTGCCCAACAGTTTCGGACCAAGTTTCTATGTTGGGAATGTAAATCACACTTGGCCTATGCCTCTTGACCTCTGCAAAGAGCTGTATGACAGCTGCTTCCGGAGACCGAGTCGAATCGCTGAGGAGAGTAGGCAAATCGAACGATTGCACGTGCAGTCCTTCAAAGTAATGCAAAATGGCAGCCGCCAGATACTGTTGGCCCATGCCCATTAGTCCGCGAAGCAGCATCCTGGGCCTGAAAACTCGCGACCTGTCGAATTCTTGCTGCATCTGCTCGCTTTGGAAGCTTCCAGCGCCCTCGGGCTCCTCAAATTGTGCTTCTTCCAGAGCAGTAAGCCGCTTTCTTTGTGGAAGAATTTCGGAGAGCAGAGCTTTAATGTCCGCCAGAGGATGACGAAGTAAGGATTCAACTTCCTTAGGGAGTGGCGAGGCGCCAGATGAAGTGGACCTCTCCGATGATGGGACCATCTTCTTGATGGCGAGCATGAAGTCCTTCGGGGTGACATTGATGTTCTTCGGATCGATAAGAAGCTTCTTATCGGATTTGTAAATCTGGGGGTATCTTCTTTGTACCGCGTTCAGGGCGGCTTCTGTGCAAAGAGCACGAAGGTCAGCTCCTCCATAGCCCTTGGTGATCTCAGCCAGCTCATCCTTTATATGTCCTGGAATGGGCGGATCCCAGCCCTTAGTATGGATGTCGAGAATAGCGCGCCGACCTTCGGAATTCGGTAGGGGAAAGTAGAACTCTCGATCAAAACGACCCGGACGGCGTAGAGCAGGGTCAATCGAGTCCGGTCGATTAGTGGCACCAATAACAATGACCTGACCACGGCCATCCATACCATCCATCAACGCTAGCAGAGTAGAGACAATAGACGCATGGATCTGTTCCTGTTTGCTTGATCTCACAGGAGCCAGACCTGGAGGTAGACAAGTCAGTAGTGTTGCAAGAACGCACTCTTGAGGGGTTGTTCACTCACCGTCAATTTCGTCAAAAAAGATAATGCTAGGTTGTGTTTTACGAGCTTCCTCGAATAGCAGTCGCAGCTGCCTTTCAGCCTCACCCACCCATTTGCTTAGCGCATCAGCTCCTTTTCTCATGTAGAATGTGACTTTACGGCCCTCGGAACTGACACTGTTCGCCAAGGCCCTGGCCAGAAGAGTTTTACCCGTTCCAGGGGGACCGTGAAAGAGAACTCCTCTAGGCGGCACGATGTGGAAACGCTGGAAGATCTCCGGGTATAGCAGAGGAAGAGACACCATTTCCTTTAACTGATCAATATGTCCCTGCAAGCCTCCAACACTGTCGAAATTGACGCTCATATCCACTCCTAACGGGTCTGCATCCGCAAGCGCCTGCTTATCCTTGACTTTGCCCAGGTTTGCCGGTGTCCCTGAGAGACCCTGTGTAGCATCGTGTGTTTGGGTCTGGCCGGGGAGAAGACCAGCGCCATGCGGCCCAAGAGCGGACCCTACACCGGCAACAGAGCCACGCGGGTGATGCAACCCTTCATCATCGCTGCTATCACTGTCAACGCCTCCAGTCGCAGCAGGTGCTCCCGGCGGAGCCAGAATTGCAGCCGGGCCGCCGCCTCCGAAAGGCCCATATGTCGGGAATAGGGTGCGTTGCCAGCTACTGCCGCCTCCACCCCCGCGGCCACCACGGCGCGAGGGAGACTCATTAACCTCGTTCTCAGCTTCTTCAATCGGTAGAATTAGATCCGGTCGTATGATTCGATAATCCACATCCTTGCGGCTGCGCCGAGGTTTTTCATACACAATATCCGCCTGCAACCTTCTACGAGGTCGGCCACCCCTCAGATCCTCAAGTTCTTCGGCGAGTTCCTCTGCAATATCAGCCGCCGCTTCGGATTGCCCACGAGATCGAGACGCCCTTTTGCGAAGACCAGGACGCCGGCCGGCGGTGCTGTCCTCTTCATCATCGCGTGCTTGACTGGCTTTACGGGGAGAGCCGTTGGATTTTCCGGTCTGGGATACCTCATCATCATCGTTTGAGTCTTCTTCTTCGGGTTCAAAGTCGCTCTCCTCATCGTTTGATCGTTTCCGTTGAGAACTCTTCGGCTTTTTTCGGCTGGAGCGACGAGGCCCCGAGGCTTCTTCTTCATCTGGCTGCTCGGGCTCCTCGATTTGCTGGCCTCTATTTGGACGAGTTCTTCTCCGGGTTACTGGGCCCTCGTCTTCATCGTCATCTTCGTGCTCAGCATCTTCGTTCTCAGACTCGGGCACAAATCCCTCGTCAGCATCTGCCGCTCCCTGCAGGCCATCCCCGGCGGATATGGGCCCTTCTTCGAAGCTGGCGTGCGCACTTTCCATAATCTCGATCTGAGAGCCTTTGATATCCGTGGTCTCTTCAATATACTCTTCCTGCTTCTCCTGAGTATCTTCATCCTCCTCCATAACTGTGGGGACCTGCTTCGATGAGCGAGATCCGCGGCGATTTGGTCGTATTACTTCGGCCTCTGGGCTATGTGTACCTCGTTCGACTGTTTCCACATGGCGACCCGAGTTGGTGAGCGCGTAAATGTCTTCCGACGCGCCTCGTGTACGCCGGGTGACTCGTCGGCTCCCTTGGTCCTGTTGCGGCTGTCGCTTCAACGCATCGCCCAATTTCAGCGTGACTACGGCAGTTTTGCGTTTCTTTGGTGAAGTGTCTTCTGTTTCATTGTCATCGTCCTCGATGCTGCTTGAATCGGGTTCGTTATAAAGTGGTCGGTTCGTGGCTGCCCTTCGCGCTACTAGGCCTCTCGCATTCCTCTGAGCGTTGTCATCAACTTCTTCCTCCGACTCGTCGTAAGACAATTCCTCATCCTCACTGAAGAAATCATCATCGTCAGAGATAATGTCATCGCCGGAACGGCGACGAGCCCTCTTCTTCGATGGCTTGGCTTTCTTCCTCGATTTAGAACGCGAGGCGGAGCGGCGAGATGAGCGGGGGTGGTCGCTGTAGTCGTCGTCGTCCGAATCGGACTTGTTGGCGATTTCTTCGATTGAGCGCTTCATACGAGCCATGGTATCGCGCCAAAAAGGCTTGGGGGTTGGATCTCTTTTGACGATCGCCATGTGAGTGATTTGAGGCAAATTGCCATGTGATAGGTCATGAAAGACACGAGAAATTCGCGCCCGGGGAGGCTGATGGGGATGTAGGGATATCGATGGAACTCACCAGGAACTGAGTGAATGGAAAAGTAGAACGTATTGTCACCTTAAACGAAAAGTAAACAGACCCAAGCAGACACTGCCATTCAGCACAAGACAATGGTATTGTTTCTCATGCAACCAGACAAAGACCTAAGCTCCCCTGCAGACACGATACATCAATGTTGGGGGGACGACGTGCCGCCCGTGGACAAGAGGTGGTTATATATACCACGGGACTACGGCGAAGCGCAAAGCGCAGGGCCCCGGGAGAGAGAAATCGCAGTGAGTCTCACGACAAAAGCCGGTGCGGGAAGGAAAGGGCCCGATCGCATCCAGTGACAGAAGAACAGGAGATGGCTGGCGCACAAGAATCAGAAACGAGCGAAAAATGAAACGGTCAAATGGGCCAAAATCCACGCTGCCACACGAGTAACAAACATCGAATAAACGGGCGTGGGACAAGAAGATCGAAGGGCGGAAAGACTCGCGCACGCCTTTTGCCTGGCCTGCTCCAGCCACAGCTGGCCGTCCGGCTAGTCCTGCCATTCCCGGGGCACGAGCCACAGACCCGCGCCGCAGCTAGGCCTCCTTTGGGGTTAGCGCCCCGGTGCACGTGCCTTCACCCGCGTCATTTTGCCCATTTTGCTCCACGACCGCAGCAGCACTATTCCGTACCGTCAATTTTCCGTTGGTCATGCGAAATCACAACAGCTCAACTCTTCAACCGTCGTCCCTTTGCCGCACCATCACTCCCTCTTCCCACCCACGTAGAGCCCACTGAAACCATCCGTAAACCTAGTCACAGTAGAGTTCCAGCTTTCGATGCATAGATTCGGTCAATATTGACCGCTCTCCGACCGGATCTCGACGTAGTCCAGGGCGCAAACCCGAGGTGCCAAAGGATGGAAGAAAGAAGAAATAAGTCGGTCAGGAACCTCGACCTTTCCCCAGGTCCTCGAAGCTTATCGTCCTTAGGCTCCTCCCCGCCTGTCCATCATGATTTAATGCAGAGCCGCTTGCCGAATGCGGCTTTAGCGACCTATTTGTCATGTGACTGCTGAGTCATCGATTCTTCTTCCATCCCCGACTCAATCTAACTTGTATATATATAAATGTTTATATCTACAGGATTCAATCTACTACCGCTAACCCCAGTACATACGAAGCTTGACCAGGTAATATCTCTTTCCATTCTCAATATGTTTCGCCGGCTGCCATCAACTCGCCCCCCGCTGTCACGTTTTCTCTCCACTGCATTCCCATCTCGCAGACCATTTAGCACCACCGGGAGCAACTCGAACGCCCACGAATCCAGTTCATTCAAAGAAGGGGTAAGCTTCCCAGCCTTTGCTGTTAATACTATCATAAATTGAGCCATGGGGCCTAAGGCAAGGTCTCCATAACAAAGATATATTCATAGTATCTTCAAGTTTGGAAGGTCAAATAACCATGCTTAAATAAAGGCTAACCCAAACCAGGTATCCCGGTACAAACTCTTCGCAAGTCCGTTTGCCAAGGTCTTCTTGGGAGCCATCTTCACATACCAAGTGATTTACTGGACATGGCTGAAGCTTGAAATGGATGAGTCGAAATATACCAAGAATCGTACGTGTTTGTGGAGTTCTCCTATTCGTTTACACCTCCCGCATTGCTCCTAACAATCCCTCACAGAAGAAGTGGCGGCTCTGGAGAAGCAGGCTAGGGAGCTGACGAGCACCCAAAAATAAGGGCTTTTCATCTTATCCTACGTGCACATTGTATTGTATATACCCCGTATGTCAATGTAAGCTTTTGACGTCACTTTCATATCATTCAGAGCTAGCCTGGTAGGCTCAATATGTATGTACAGCACCCTCTAAGAGGATTCTATATATCCATTAGGCAGAGGCTGGCGCTCACTCCCACAACTGCCACAGAAGCTATGAGGGCAATATAAGCATTGTGCGGTATAAGACCAAGGAAAAGGACCCTGCGTACACTGACACTGTTCTCAGGTTAGCCTATCTTTCGTCTCCCAAACCAGCTGAACCTGAATAACTTACGCAGTAGACGAGGTTTCCATAATGGGATTGGATCGCATCATCGGTCTTATATCTTTTCTCCATAGCCGGAATATCTGCCCGAATATAATAGTCTAGAGACGGTTGTGGGGCGGAGAATTTGCGTTTTCGTAAGTTCGTCTGATCGGGAAGAGGGTTGAACATAGGAGAGTTGTTTTGAACATGAGTGTTCACTTGGCGAAGTGGAAGGTTATGTACTTGTTCTGGGGCCGCCACCGGGGTGTCATCCCGTGGGTTCTCGCCCTCAGAGTTACAGATACTCCCGACAGTATCATCATCGCTCACATCGTCTACTGGAGGCTCACCATCGCCATCTGCGTGCGTTCCGATTCGTTCCTTTCCGTCGCGTTCTCGGCCCTTGGTCAGATGTCCCGAAGGGAGGAGCCAATCCTCGATCCGCTCGCCATTTTTGAAGTGTTCAGTATCTATGTGATTGAAGCGCTCATTCCACGCAGCAAGGCCCTGACCTTTTAGTGGAATGATGTCACGACAGAAGCCGCACCAGAATTGTGACTGTCCATGCGGACCGATGCTGTTCTTGGAGAGTGCAGTCTGCACCTCTTTATCTTCTGCATGGTGATGCTTTTTCAGGTGACGGGCATATTCTCCTTGGTCATAGAACAGGCGAGCGCAGGATTGATCCCCTTGCGTGGCATCGGGAAGGGTGCAGCGCCAACTCTGCAAGGGGAAATGCTGGGAGTTCTCGTGTCGTTTCCAGTCGGCTTTGCTACCGAAGGTCTTGCTGCATTTTTCGAACGTGCAACCATATGGTCGCTCATGGCGCTTCTTATGTTTCCTTGAAGTTGAAATGTTAGGACTTGATTGCAGATAAAAGCGCCGTATGTTCACCTACTTCATTTCACAGCGCAACCGCGTGCGCTTCGTGCAGAATTCGCATTGTATCCAACCTTTCTTGTCGGACTTACTGTCAGGCACCGTCTGTGAATCAGCCTGACTAGGTTCTGGGTTTCCGGACACCTGGTCTAGAGCTGCAGATAGAATCTTCTGCATCATCTCCCGCTTCTCATCGGACAGTCCGCTATTCCGCTCAAGTGACTCTACTTTGTCGCCCATATGGTGGCTATGTCTGCGCTGACTGTTGCCACTATCGTTGCTACTGCTGTTCATCATACTTGCCATGACGTTGACCATGTTAGTAGCCATTTCGGATACCATATTTTCCATTCTGTCAGGTTGGGCGTGTCCCAGCCGAGAAGAATTGGAAGGCTCTAGGTCCGTGTTTGAGCTCAAGTTGAGGGTCGTCAGAGCAGGTAGTTCAAGGCGCTGCGCAGTATCTCTTGCAGGGAGCCTTGGTGTACTGTCCAAGGCAGAATATCTTCGTTGAGTCTGGGAGTTCTTATTTGATTGGAGGCCCGGCTGATTAGATGGCCTAAAGAGAGGCGTATCTGGAGATCGCAAACTGTAGAGGTCCTGACCCGAATCCCTCCTGACATATTCTGAATCAGAAGCAGCAACCGTTACCTCGTCCGAGATGTGGTCGGCAAAGGATGAAGGCTCAACTCGTGGCTTTACACAAGACTCATACCAATCATGCGACCTGGACGAGGTTAATGCTTGCTTTTTATTTTCACGTATCCATAGGCAAGCTAACTTACCTCTTCAGTAGCTCATTTGTATCCTCATCATTGTGCATCCGGGAGAGATGCTGGCGGAAGTTGTCCAACCGGGGCCATTCCTTGCCTCGGCGTGGACAGTTACGCCCGAAACACATGTACAGCACTTTGGGGCCACGCTCTGGCTCCTGTTTGTGGACGCACTTCTTATGTCGTGCAAGATCATTGATGGTACCGAAACCTTCCTTCCGCGTACAGCCAGGCTCGTCGCATTTGAAGAGCTTTCTATGTCTCGCTTCATGCTTCCTGCTGCTTAATTAGCTTCATGGCTCTTCTGCATGATGATTTTGTTCAAACATGCCGAAGAGAGGAAGCATACCTCTTATCGGATGGACACTTGCCCGTCCAAGGGCAGTTGGGGTAATCACATGTAATCATATCATGACACATTAAAGATGATGATTCTGCCATCTCCAGTGCATCGACCACTGTGTCGCCACAGTGGGATGGACCGAGATCTAATATTGACGACCGATCTTCTTGTTCATGTTCATGCGGCGCTAAGAATGGGCTGCTGACAGAGTCAACCGCGTAAGACGACGTGGTGACCGACCGCGTGGCACAGCTGTGACTGCAGTATCCCGAGTCTGAGGGGTGGAAGCCGTTATAATGACTGTCACTCTCGGAAGTTGCGCTGTACTGCCCCGTCGAATATTTGCGGCCACCTTCAGACGTCTGCTGGAGGTTATTAGCGTTAGGGAACCCCCATAGTGACGTGTTCACCGGCACGCCGGTCACTTGAAGCGGGTTCCATGCATCTTGGTTGCTCTTTAACCGCGGGTGATGGTACTGAGAAACATCTAAGCTGGGTTGAGGCGGCGGTGACGATGTTTGCTGGTGATGTGGTGGCCATTGGTTGAGCATCGATAGATGGCTGTGCGGGATTACTGCAGAGTCAGGACCGAATTGCAGGCCTAGAAAAGACGCTGGATCGCTTAGAGCGTACTCAGAGACTAAAAGCCCATCCGACGAGTACTCTAACTGCGGTGAGGCTGGTGCGACTTGCCGGTCCAGCATGCCTTGGAGGATATCCCCGGAGTTGTCCCAAGCTAGTCTTTTGGGGTTAGGCTCCTAAAGCACATGGGTATAGTTAGTTTACTGGAAGATTTCATGGAGGGTTGACAATTAAGTTAAGACTGAACGAGATGGGACGACGGTCACATACGTTCATCGCTGCCAAGTCAGCTGTCTAAATTGACCTTGCCGATAATCGCTTCCCCGTCTTGGATATACCGATAAGCCAGAGGATTGAGGATGTGTCAGGGTAACGCGTGAATTGAGTGGCAGAGTGATTTATATAGGTGTTTGAAGCTTTCACCGGCCATGAGTCTAATATAATAGCTTGTAGACACCATCCACTGTCAGAATGGTCTTCTTGTAGAAATGGTGATAGTTGAGACGAGACCAAACATAGTCAAAAAGGGAAGCCGATGAGAAAAGTCGGGCAGTGAGGCTGAGTAAGTTCTGAGATGAAACATAGACTAGGATGTGACTGTGAAGAAGATCCGTTTTTAAATAGAACAAGGTTAATTAACACACTCCCTATATATAATTAATAAAAAAAAATGACAAGGGAAGACGAGAGGGAGCATCAATGTCAACGGCCGAGAAGAAGGGAAAGGATAGACGATGTGATCGACGGCCGGTGGGTGGACACTAACTCCATCGCAAAACCCCACGCGATAACGTGTTCAAACTTCAGAGAGAAAAAGAAAGGAAAGGTTTCCACATTGGCAGGACAGGAGAGGGGGGGGAGGAAGAACACCGTGACCCAAAAGTACGTACTGTCTGTGCATCCATACGAAGGGACCAATGAACGGGAACTCGACTGCAGAGGTCCATTGAAGCTGGGAAGCATAAGGAGTATTGGAGGAATGGGGATTAAGGATCTGCCAGAGCATGGAAGTTGATTGATTCTCTACTATTCTTGTTTGGGGTTGCAGGGGAGATGACCTGAGAGCTGAGGAGGGGAAATTAACGTGACTTGACTCAACCCTTCACTAAGATCTGTCATACATCAAAGACAGAAAACAGAATTTTACTCCTTCATTTTTCTTTTTTCTTTTTTCTTTTCTTTTTTCCCTCTCTCTAAGGCATGCGTTCATGTCGCATATCTGTACATACATATTGCTCTCATTCAGCTACTATCTCCCCATCCCCTTCCTTTCTCAGACCCATTCCGGCAGATATGACTCCAGGTACACACAGAGAGAGAGCGAGGCGTGTACAGGTATGTATGTACATACGGGCTCCTAGCATGCGGTCACTGATTGCACAAAGAGCTCTACCCCTGGATAGTCGGATCGGACGAGTAGAATGTAGATAGATTAGATCTTAGACAGCGAGGAATTGCAGCCTCATCATTCCCAAGGTATGGACGTCTCGGACGGGACGTACAACTTCATTTTCCAGAGGAGGGGTGTGCAAAGGGCGGAGACCCTCCCACCGTCAATCTCCACATCGGGAATTGATTCCCCGGGATTCGTCAGCTGAAACGAATGAGGTTCATGACTAATGGACTTCGTTCTCTTGAGAGAACGAAGGGAATGTCATGTAAGGGGGCCTCCATGGCACGCGTGGTATGTGGTCCGTGATTGGCAAATGAAGGAAAATGAGAAGAACTCCATCGGCATCATGACAACCAGCAGGAGAGCCAATAAACACACGGATACCAGCGTGGCTGTGCCTGTAAGGATGACAAAGTTCCCTCAAAAAGACTTCATCATGCGAGAAAAAGGGACACCACATACCGACTAACGAGACGCTACTTATGATACTGGCTAATCTGGGCGAATATACGCCGTCCCAATTTCATTATTGCTGATGATTATGATTACTCCTGCACATCACTCCAACACCCACCTAATCTTATTTACTAGTCGACGGTCTCATTGGATCTGCATTCCCACCCGATATCGTGGAAATCGTACGTTATCAGCCTAGACCCTGAATCCAAAATATATGGGAAATTCATCCGTGTGATTGGCTGCCTCGGAAAGCTGGACAGAATTCATTCCATTGAGTGTATCCCTG